TTTCTTTTTTGATTTAAGTCCTGTTTGTCCAAGTCCACAAAGAGACATGTTGCTACTAAGCCTTCCTGATTCACCGTCATGTTCTTTAGCTGGATGCTCAGACAGGCACTCAGACTGAAACACAGGTATATATTAGTCTATATTGCTATTTGCTAAAAATCGCAAATACCAGCAGGGATGTAAACACTGAGTTTGGGAAGAGTGATGATTGCAGGGAGGAAGGATCTCCACACTGAGGATGCAGCAATGAAGCTCATAGCTTCATGCCTGGAGTAGGACACTTTGTCCAACACTGATGTCGTCCATCACCTGCTTTGAGTCCAGGGCCGATCACAGCACAGAGCTGGCCTTCTAACGGCTGCAGATACGCTGCTGCTCCAACATGCTACACTGACCATCAGAACAGTAAAGCATGAGTAAAATTGTTAAATGGTTCATATTTTTGTTTCTCAGCCAATGTTTGTGGGTCTGCTGGACCCTCTGCAGTTTATTGTTTGAAATTCAAAATATTGATAACTTTGATAATATTGAAATAAACAGCAGATATGGTTGATTTTTGCCTTTTGGCCTTGAAAGAAGCATTTGAAGAAAGAAGTAGTACTGTTTCATGTTTGCTATATGACAAAAACATGTAACCTAAAAAGAAATAAACATTTTGATTCAATATATAAGTAAACCTTAATGAAAACTTAGTTCACACTCAAATCCAAACAATAGATTTCAGTATAAATGGAAAAACAGTCTAAATGTTTTCTGAATTATGTTAATAGAAAATTACCTAGATCAAGGCCAATGAGTCAGAGTTAGAAAAAGTGTATTGTTTCTGTTTTGCAACAATTAAAAGCAAAAAACAAACATTTCACCAGACTTTATGTAGGCTTATGTCTGTGGCTGGTGAATTTTTGATTAACATGCTTTATTTTCATTTTATAAAGTTTCTCACTGTGTGAAGAAAACCAACTTTTTGTTACTCAAGTCAAAATTATAATACTTCATTATAATTTTACTCAATTAAAAGTAAAACAAAATGCTACTGAAGTGAAACAGTAAATGTAATTAATTATCCACCTCTGTAATCATCATAAGCAGAAATAAGAGGTTCAATCTGTTTATGTAATACATCTACATGAGTTAGATTTTTTTTTTATTCAGTTAATAAAACAAATTACATTTCTAATTAACTGAGATGCAGCTATATTAGAAGCAATGAAGAAAGCAGGTTAGGGAGGAGCAGGAGAGTAAGAAGACTTGTTTTTAAGTGACTGGCTGTGCAGACTGTGAGCTCACATCACCCTCTCTCTGCCGCCTCCTACCTCTGCTGTGTTGAATTATGGGAAAGGACACAAATATACCTTTTAAATAGGAAGTCATAAATAAACACGTCAAATTAAATTTAGCCCATCTGATTTGCAGATATTTCGCTTACTTTTTTATTTGTACTTCTCTTGTTTTTTCGCCTCTCTTTCATTGCCTTTGTGGTGAGATCTACACCTCGTGCATTTTTCGCTCTCTCTCTCTGACACAGATGTTTGCGTTCCACAAGTTGGGTGCAGGACTGTGAGAATAACTGCAGGCTTCTTCCTTCCTGCTCTGTTTAGTTGCCTTTCACTTCAGCTGTGAGGACACAACGCTAATCAGACAGAAAGGCACAACAGGAGATATGATGGGAGAGAAGAAGAAGATTTCTAAACATCATAGCAGGATACCCCTGCTACAGGAAAGTAGATAAAGGCTGAAGGCGGGGAGATTACTCTCTTTTTTTTTTTTTATTTGTTGGTTTTTGTTTTTTACCTGCAGCCTGCAGTGTAGCCCCTGACATGAGTACACAGGAGTTTGAAGTGTGCTTGTCCTCTGATGAGAAGTTTGAGATGAGTTGTGTGAGTTAGTGCAGTGCTTTTTGTGTGATGGATGAGGGAAGGATTACACAACAGCTTGGAAAATGCTGAGATGGAAAAGGAGAAGAGAAAGTTCAAGCTGAGCCGCATGCTGTCCCTTTACCCGTTCAGAAAGAGCAAGTCCCTGACTGGCAGCCCTGCTCACTGCAGCAGCTGCAGATCCACAGCTGCAGCTGCCACTGACCTCCCACCTGAACCCAGGAATGAGTGGACGGTAAAGTCATGACCTCTTTGTAAAGTTTAATTTATTGTTATTTGCAGCATTGCATGTTATCAGTATCTGATCAGAAACGAGGTGAAACGCCGAGGTGTTCAACCCATTCTGGTTTCCTGTTGTCAAATACATTTCCAAGCTACAGTGGTCGCTAGCTGTCGAATGTTTCCATCTTTAACGCTTTAAATTCATGCTTGATAAACGATTGCTTTATGCTTGAGATAATCGACAATTATATGAACGGTTTTAATCTTTTAAAATTGATACTTGTTCCTAATTTAGAACCAGAGCTTAATATAATCTTCATAAAGTTGTGCTAGTTGTGACCCTGTTAATTACTTTGTTTCAACTGGAAGTTCTTCCACCTCCACTAATTACTAACCATTTACTCTCCACTTCCATTTGCAGGCAATAATTAGGCTTGTTTTTTTAATCGTGCATTCAAAGCCTACAGTATTTAACAAATGACAATATCATGAAAATATATTGTTAGCAATGCAATTCAAAATTCAAATCTATTTTATAGACTCCTCACGCACGCACACACACACGCACGCACGCACGCGTAGCCACCCACCCACCCACCCACCCACCCACACACACACACACACAGTGATGCATTTTAAAGGTTTATTACTGTTAGTTTTGGTGATTCTGGTTGACAGATAATGAAAAATCAAGTGTATCAGAAGATTCAGACTTTACATAAAGTTTTACATTGATAAAAAATAAATAAATTTAAATATCTTCAAAAAAACAAAAACTTTGACCATGTACTATATAGTTAATGCACTCAGTAATTGGTTGTGGCTCCTTTTGCATGAATCATGAACTGCTGTAAAACACTTTGTTTGGCTTTGATGAAACTCTGATTGTGAATTTCTCTCTGACTTTTGAATGGACTTTGTGTCCCTGTCCTCTCCAGGCTACGGACATTTCTGTTGATTTTACGTTTTTTTTCTGCCGTGTTTTTTTCCTTCCTCTTCACTTCCCATCACTATGGCAGGACAGGGTCCCATGAGAAAACACCAACTTCTTGAAAATGTACTTTCTGTGGCTTATTCTACTTATGTGAAATCTTCTGGACAACAGTCAGTTTGTGAAGTCCATAGCATAACATTTCAGTGTTGTAAGTTGTTCATTTGCTCTTTGCAATGAATCTATACTTGAATTAGATATTTTACATTTAATTGCTGGAGTAAATAGATTTAGATGGTAAGCTTCCTTATTGTAGATTTATTGTTGCTTGCTGAGAAACAAACAAGACACAAACTTGTTTTGCTTTTGATGCTTTGATGACTTTCTGCTGGTGTTTAGTCAGCGGCCCTCCGCCCTGTCAGACCTGCCTCCAAAGGTCTTTGATCGAGAGGTTGACGCCAAGGTTAAGCAGCTTGTCAGAAAAACAAACGATGAACCACAACTGTTCCCTTTTTGCTATCGGCTGTGCATTTCCATTTAGCATCGCAGGCTTCATGCTTTCCACAAAGACGGCGTCAGTGACGAGAAGCTGCCGGCTGTTATCTGTCACACTGATCCGCACGTTTCTCTGTTAAATGTCGCTTCCTCTTTCTGAGAAGTTTTATTTTGATGTAGTTCTACTTACACCAAGAGACAAACTTATGTGGAAACATCAACTCATCTCACATTTTTCTGCACGTTGCAAAGAGCTCCAATTTTATAGTCCTGGGCTTTTCTCTTTTTAGGAAGATGGAGACATCAAGGAGATCAACATCACCCATGTGGTCAAAGAGGGCTCGGAGAAAGCTGACGCCTCTCAGTTTGAGCTGCTTAAGGTTTTGGGACAGGGATCCTTCGGCAAGGTAATGACTCACCTCCCCTCTGTATGCCTGTTTGCTGCTTTCTTAACTTCAAATATTAGATGTAACATTTAACATCCAACATCTTGGTGTTTTTAGGTGTTTCTTGTACGAAAGGTGACCCCACCAGATGCCAACCAGCTGTATGCCATGAAGGTCCTAAAGAAGGCAACTCTTAAAGGTACAGATGTTTGCAAAATTTTTTTTTTAATTTTAGTGTTTGATCATTCAGAGATGTACTTTCCCAAGCTACAGGAAAAGGTTTCACATGGGTTTCAGTGGAATGCCTTTTTTGTTGTTGTGGGTTTTTGCCACATTTTCTTGTAAGAGGTTATCTACTTTTCCTGTTAGTCACATACTAGTGACTGAGCAAAGACCACCACCACCCTGCCCCGCCCACATGAACTTTCTGTGGGTTTTTCACAGGTGGTGTGGTCTCATCAGTTGTATAAACAACATGCAAAGCAGACGATTCTCACAGTCACCAACAAATTCAAAAGAAAAGCTTCAGTACATTTTGTTTCAGGGTAAAGGCATAAATACTGAAAACAGTTGGAACTAAATATTTTTTAACTCTGACACTAATTGTTTCGTGTTTTATGTCAGTTTGGAAATCTCCCCCAAATAATTGCTTGCTAAAAACAAGAATAATGTGTTGGGGTTTTGTTTTAGATACAATTTGCTCATAATAATAATGACCCTTGAAACACATTTATAATTCATAATGTTAATCATACATAAATAGAAATATGTGCAGAAAATACAGTCGATAGTGCTGATTCGCACTTCAGTGGTGTTGAATTTCAGTATGTATTAAATGCTCGCACTGTGATGAACACAGTCTTAGTTAAATGTATTTTCTTTCAAATGGGTTTATTGCTTGTTAGTCTTCCAATGTATCCCATTGTCAAGTCATGCATCAAGTATTAAAACTATGAATGCACTGAACTCTTCTTCCTTCCTTTCAGTCAGAGACCGTGTGAGGACCAAGATGGAGAGGGACATCCTTGCAGATGTCAACCACCCATTTGTTGTCAAGCTGCACTACGGTGAGCCAAACTAAAGACACTGTAACTGTTGAACCTTGATGTTATAATTACTGACCACTAGAGGCTGTGATTCAAGCACTGGATGATCAATCTTGTTTTGTTTTTGTTTTTTTTGCCATGTCAGTAATTTACTGTTCGCTTTAGTTTGCTGCATTGATTGTTGTGGTTTATTTAACTTAAAAGCCAGCAGCGTTTATCCTCCCGCTGAGTCCGTTAGCATCTATGGGGTCGGCTACAACACAATGTTCTCTGCTGGTGTTCTGTTTTTTGGCGGGCTGGTCATGCTTCTCGGCAGTATGATGCTGTCCGCTTGCACCTGACAACAGGTGTCGCATCAAAATCATTTTCTGTGACGGTAGAGGGCGATAGACCACAGATACGTCTTGAAGATCAGCGAGAAGAAAAGTATCTGCGTAAATACTGATAAACAGCTGGGATTGTGAACTTCACGGATCTTTTACTGTCATCGCACTGACAGGAAAAATATAAACTATTTGACTCTGTAAACTGTTTGACTGGCCATCGAACAGAATACCTGTGATATTAAAATATGTAAACCAACTGTGTCCGTTTAATGAATTGTTAAACGATTAGGAAATGATTCCAAGTGCTTGGGTGGTTTTGAACACAAATTTTGATGTTTCTTCCACCTCTTCATTATAGTCATATCACACTTATTACAGTATTTAACTCTCCAATAGCCAGAATCACACTGGTCACAGATTTTGATAATAATAATCCGTGACATTACTGTACAGGCCTGTAAATTATGTCAGTGTAAAACAACTATTTTTCAGAGTTCCTCCACCTCTTCACCACTATCTGAGTGTATTTATAAATATTTAACCCTCAAATAGCCAAATTGACACTGTAGACAGTGCCTGTGGACCCCCTGCTGGCGGTAGAGCCACCTGGGTCACTGGAAGGTCACAGGTGACTTTGTTGTGATCGTGCTTTGCTTGAAGCACTGCCTCCAGTGGTCATTCAGGACTCAGAGGACCGTAGCTGGAGTCTTAACTTTTGTTTTTCTTCCACAAAATGGGTTCTTTTGTAGCATTTCAGACTGAAGGGAAGTTGTATTTGATCCTGGATTTCCTCCGAGGCGGAGATCTTTTCACCAGACTCTCTAAAGAGGTGAGAGAAACTTGAGAATTATTTCCAAAGGGGATTTTATTCAATCATTAGCGAATCCAGCTGATACGTTTTGAGCATTTCCTTGTACTGTTCCTCTCTTGTGACGTTCTTCCTGTCTCGTGGCCGCCAGGTGATGTTCACAGAAGAGGATGTGAAGTTTTATCTAGCAGAGCTCGCTTTAGGACTGGACCACCTTCACAGCTTAGGCATCATTTACAGAGACCTCAAACCTGAAAAGTAAGTGCAACATCTCAAAAAGCAGAAACTCTCTGCATCAAACCAGCAGACAAAACATCCACACTAATAAAAATGTCATGTACTTTTACGGTTTTCAGACTTTTCTAGAAAATTGAAGTATTTAAACATTGATGTGGCACCAGAGGGCTTTGAAGTTTTAGTATTTTTGTCAAACCAGAATGAATCGTTTTATTGCTTTCTAACTGAGATTTTTCATTCTTTTCAACTTTGTAATTTGATGCCTCTGGATCTAAGAGAAATTATCTAACTTTTGAGAGATCTGAATAAAATTTTTAATGATTTACAATCAGTTGAGTGTTCAAATTTTTTAAACGATCATTGTTCATAGACTGCAGCTCTTTTTATTCAGTTTCGGGGGCCTCCCACACAGAATGTGGGACCTGGATGGATGGAAAATTATAATCAAATTTCTCTCAAATTTTTAAATGATTACATCACTAACACTGAAAAGCACCAGAGATGGAGTTCTTCTCACAAATAGTGGTTATGCAAATGTTGTGCAATATCTTAATAGCATCCAGTGGAATGTAGGCATGCAATCATCTCTTTTTTTAATAGTGAGATCCTATCAAGACTCATATTCATTCAAACTTTACAGAACTCTTTTCAGACATAATGACCGATGCTACTTCTGATCGCTTTCTCTTGTCAGACCCTACACCTTAATCACACTTAAATTCATTATATAAAGATTTTTTTTTTCTTATTTGTTGTAAACTTGTGTTTGTTTTGCTGTAATGCCTAAATTCCCATCGTTGCTCAACTGCATTGGTAACGATGCAGTTGAGCTTGAAATCCTATTTGAGACTAAATTATTCTCAGTCCTGTCTAATAAGTAAGCATAGTGCTACTTTATTATTTTCTGTGACTTAACTTTGCCCAGCCTATTGAATATTTATGCAGCCAGCTTCTCTCATCTTTGAAGGAAACTAAGAATCATTGATTAAAAATGTCCCTCAGTGAACACATCCCCTGTTATCTGGCATATTTATGCATATGTATGTGAACTAATATTTTCACATGTTGATTTTTCTCTCCTCCATTATTGGTCCACCTTGGCATAAACCCAAATACATGATCTGAGACCTGGCATGGGATTTGTGCATGTCATTATGCTCACTCAGAAATCCCAGATCAAGTGTAGAAATGTCACTAAACATTTTTCTACGTTATTAATATTTGATAAATCGGGGCCTGTCTGTATACAACTTTCCAAACCAATTCTTGTCAAGTTGTTAAGTGATGTGTTTCTTATTCCCTCTGTAGTTGTTTTCTTCTCAGTTTTTGAACGTCTCATTTTAATTCTGGTTATTGTGTGTGTTGTTTTTAGTATCCTTCTGGATGAGGAAGGGCATATCAAACTCACAGGTGAGTCTCCTGTCTGCTCCTTTTCCTCTCACTGACCTTCAGGAGTCACAGTACAGTGGGAAATTTATCAGCATGCAGTTTCCATTGTTAACTATTACACTTTATCTTATTGTCAGTCTGGGTTCTGCTGCCATCAAGCTTTGAAGAAGTGACATACACGGCACAGACGTATCTTTGACTAGGCCAACATATCTTTAAACCTTTTTTTATGTCTGGAAAAATGCGTTTTAATCTAAATTAAAACCGTCAGATATATATTTCTCTTTATTGAAATGAATTATTTCGAAAAATAATAAATTATTTAATTATTGAAACTTTCTGAAGATATTCTAATTCATTGAGATGCAGCTGTTAATCAGTTACATTGTGCAGCATATTAATGTTATGAAAATTGTTTTGTTTACTCCAGATTTTGGCTTGTGCAAAGAGGCCATCGATCATGAGAAGAAGGCGTATTCGTTCTGTGGTACTGTCGAATACATGGCACCAGAGGTTGTAAACAGGCAGGGCCACATTCACAGCGCTGACTGGTGGTCGTTTGGGGTTCTGATGGTGAGGAGACTGAAAGAGATTGTTCTTGGGGTTATTAAAAACGTGTTTAAGTTTTTTTTTGTTTTCTAAACGTTTCTTCATGTATGCTGACTGAAAGTTTCTTCTGCTAGTTTGAGATGCTGACAGGATCTCTGCCGTTTCAAGGGAAGGACCGCAAAGAAACAATGAATCTTATATTGAAGTGAGTAAAATCAGTTGACGGGAATATTTGTGCACCAGTTCTTTTGTCACATACTGTCAGTCCGCCTCCGAGTGCAATAATTAAAGCTGTTCCGTATGCTTCTCTCCTGCAGGGCACGCCTAGGAATGCCTCAGTTCCTGAGTGCAGAAGCCCAGTCTCTGCTCAGGGCTTTGTTCAAAAGAAATCCTGCCAACAGACTGGGTTAGTTGATCAAGAACATGGTTTTCACCAAAGGCAGAAATTCTGACACAGTTTGAGAAAAGGGTTATTTAGATCTGTATTTGCAGTCGCTTGATGCTGCGAAAATGTTCTGTTGTGCTTCTAGGCTCGGGCGCTGACGGTGCAGAGGAGATAAAGCGGCACGGCTTCTTCTCCACTATAGACTGGAATGTGAGTGTTTGTGCTCCTGAGGACATTTAAATTGCACATAGATTTTTAAAAATGGTTCTCCAATCAGCAGAGGTAACAAAAAATATCAATTCTCCTCAGAAACTCTTCCGAAGGGAAGTAAAGCCTCCGTTCAGGCCAGCTGTCGCCCGCCCAGACGACACCTTCTACTTCGACTCAGAGTTCACTTCCCGCACTCCCAAAGGTCAGAACTTAGTTGTAGCATGATGCGGCAGCCTGTAAAGTAATAAATTTTATTTGACGGAGTTCGTATCATGTTCCAGACTCTCCTGGTGTGCCACCCAGTGCTGGAGCTCACCAGCTGTTCAGAGGCTTCAGCTTTGTTGCATCCACTCTGTTGGAGGAGGAAGGCTCAGCAGTGCCGCCGCAGCCGCCGCCACACCCAGTAGTCCAGGTCAGCTGTCAGCAGGAAAAACACATTTTTATTCAGCGTTGTGTGACGCTGTGAGAGAAATCATGAGAAAGAATGAGTGAACAGCTTTGGTGAATATTTTGTCTAAAAGTAGAGATGCCAACATGCCTGCAGAACCGTTCTGCCCCCAGATAGAGATGGCAGAAATAAATGTCTGTATATTTTACCTGAACTGAATCCCAACTTCTCCAGCTAAAATAGTGATGAAACAAAATAGCAATCTAAACATGGCTGCATAGATGTTACCAGCCTTAAAAAGTGCTTAACTTTGGGGAAAAAATTACATGAAACTATATTTTTGGTGCTGTTGTGCATCACTTCTGCAAATAAATTAACAAACTTCTCCTTTATTCTGTGTTTGAAAGAAGCTTAAAATATGGTCTCTTGCAAAAATTTTTCCTCTACGGGACAATAATTTAATGTATTTCTATTCTAAACTAGAACAGAAAGTAGTCCCAGTCCTCTGTTTTCAAGTATACTTTATTTCAATTCCATGCAATAGAGTAACTAATAAATTATTGTGATGTTAAAGGAAAATTATGCTTTTAACTATATTTTTTTTTGTTTTATTCCTCTCCTGCAAATCTATTGTATACATTTCCAAAATATTTGTTTAACAATTACTGTAGTTTTAATATTTTAAAATCAATATTTTAGACCCTGGTGCTTGGATGCAGAATTAATAATTTTTAATAATAATCAGTTAATCCCTGATGAATACTAATTAGCAGCAGGCAGTGGGTTCAGAGCAGCAGCTGGAGTAGCTACCAAAAAAAAACCTCTTCCTCAGATCCATCAACGTCCTCCGCCCTTGTCAGCTCTGTCAGCCTGTCACTCCTCCGCTGCTCTTCAAGCTTCATCTCTCTCTCTGCAGCAGCTGCACGGGAAAAACCTTCTGTTCAGCGATGGGTACGTCCTCAAGGAGGACATCGGCATGGGCTCCTTCTCCGTCTGCAAGCGCTGCATCCACAAAGCCACCAACACCGAGTATGCTGTCAAGGTATGAACAGATTCATACCTATCCTTTAACAGCACATCAAAACTAAACTAAAGTAGAAGAATGTGATCCAAATGTTTTTCTGTTTGCTAAAAGATGAATCTTATTCTGTAAATGTTTACTTCAGGTGATTGACAAGACCAGCACAGATCCGTCGGAGGAAATAGAGATCCTGCTTCGATATGGACAGCACCCCAACATCATAACACTGAAAGACGTGGGTCTAAATCAACACCCGATGCTCTTACTCCTTTTTAAAAGTGGAGATCTTCTTGGTGTGTGAAACCTTGTTGCTTATTGTTTCAGGTGTATGACAATGGGAAGCAGGTGTTCATGGTGACGGAGCTGATGCGCGGCGGAGAGCTGCTGGATCGGATCCTGAAGCAGAAGTCTTTCTCAGAGCGGGAGGCCAGCGCTGTGCTTCATACCATCACAAAGACTGTGGAGTACCTCCACTCCCAGGGGGTGAGCCTGGCCTGACAGCTGACCTTTACGTCCAGTCACACTGAGTCAGGGCTCAAATTCAACCAAAATGAAATAAAGAAAGAAAATAAAAATAAAAAGCTGTTAAGTAAATGCACAATAATGTAAATCAGTACGATAAATGATCAATTTGAGTAAACCATTCTGCTGAGTTGGACCTCTGTAGCTTGCCTTCTGTCTCTCCTCTGCTTTTTAAAATTATTATTATTATTTCTCCACTCTTGTATCCTCTTATTTTCCAGGTCGTGCACAGAGACCTGAAGCCCAGCAACATCCTCTACGTTGACGAATCAGGAAATCCTGAGTCCATCAGGATTTGCGACTTTGGCTTTGCGAAGCAGCTACGCGCCAACAACGGCCTGCTGATGACCCCGTGCTACACCGCTAACTTTGTAGCTCCTGAAGTGAGCGAATCACACCTACAACATGCCCTTTAAATGCGGTTTATCTGAATTGTGATGCATGATGATATGGGCTTCCAGGTGTTGAAGCGTCAAGGCTACGATGAAGGATGTGACATCTGGAGTCTGGGAGTCTTACTGTACACCATGCTGGCTGGGTGAGTACTCTATTGTCTCGGTTTTTCTCTACTTTTGCAGCTCTTTTTATTCACCCTGCCTTTTTTTCTTACTTCCACCAGCTTCACTCCGTTTGCCAACGGGCCGGAGGACACTCCTAACGAGATCCTGAGTAGGATAGGAAGTGGTCACTTCAGCCTGGCTGGAGGGAACTGGGACACTGTGTCTGATGCTGCCAAGGTAGAGTTCAGACCTCAAACATTTGGTCGCACATTTCAGTCTCTGCAGTGCCCATTCTCAATCTGTTTGGACTCTTCCAGGACCTTGTGTCCAAGATGCTCCATGTGGATCCGCACCAGAGACTGACTGCTAAGCAGGTCCTCAGACACCCCTGGATCGTCCAGAGGGACAAGCTGCCCAACAGCCAGCTCCCTCATCAGGACCCCAAACTGGTCAAGGTAACAACTCAGTGCTTTGCCTACATTTAAACTTCCACAGCAATTCAGTTCAGTTTATTTTTGTAGCTCCAATTCACAGCAGCATTTCAGCTCTTTATGGTGCAAAAAGTATTTCTATTCAATCATGCATGCACTCCAATTGATCCTACTTATCAACAGAATTGGATAGCAAGTGGTTACATTTACTCAGTTGCATTTATTTGACCAATGTTTTGGAATAAATGTACTTTTAGTAGTCTTTTTACTGCACTGTACTAATTTTGACGTATTTATACTCTTGAGTAAAATTTCTGAATTCTCTACCCACTGAGTAACTTCTCTGAATGAAGACCAAACATGTTTTAGCCAAAAATTCACCAGAAACTGATGCATATCTGCAGTTAAGTTTCATAAGTCCCAAAAATATTTGGAAAAACATTTCTTTTGTCTGGTTTTATAATTTTGTATTTATTTATATGAATTATTTTCATTATCATCTTTATATTTCACATCATTTTCAGATGTGAAATATAACTTCACATCTGTAAAATGTGATGTTATATTTTCATATAACTTCACATTTTGGTCTGTCGGATGGTGTAATTTTTAATGACTAAATAAATTAGGTTTGATCAGTCACTCGGTATTTGAGTAGACATTTTACCAAATACTTTGGATAATTTCTTGGAGGTTACGTTTTACTTCTACTGGAGTAAAAATATGTGGAACTAGTGCTTCTCTATGTATTTGTTTATCAAACAGAACATTATAGATTTAGATCTGATTCCCACATTTAGAACATTAGTAACCTCTCCACTGTTTTCAGGGTGCGATGGCAGCCACCTACTCCGCCCTGAAGAACTCCCAGCCCACTCCAGAGCTCAAACCCATCGAGAGTTCCTTCCTCGCCCAGCGGCGTGTCAAGAAGCTGCCCTCCACCTCCCTGTAGCGACTTAAAAATAAGAAAAATAATAAATAAAAAACCAGCCATCCCGCTCAATGGAGCCTGATCCTTAAAACCAACTACAAATGCTCCAAACCAGCCCAGTCAGCTTGCTCTGGGACGTAGCGTCCAGCCGCCAAAAACCAGCCAAGGAACACCGACTGTGGTCCTGCCCTCGTCTCGTGACATCACGTTGTCCTGCTCTCACTGTCGCCTCCGTGTGTGTGGGCTCGTCGGCTGCTGGGAGCCCGTGGATTCGGAGTGGTAAAAGATCTGGATGGTGAATGAGGACGCGTGGGGGTGGGTGTTTAACATCGGGGGAGGCGGGGCGTTTTGGGAATAACGCGTTTGCATGACCAGCGACAGAGCGGATGCAGCCGATGAAAGTTTTCTCTCCTGATCATTGCTGTAATTAGTTCCTGCTGCACGCTTGTCTGTCGGCCTGTTCAGTTGTCTGCTTTACTTCTTCTTTTGAAGCTTTATATCCCTTGTTGTGCTGCCTAATCGATGTGCCGACAGCACAGAGCCACAGTATTGTCCAACTGCTGTACAATGTTTATTTTTGTTTGTTTTTCTTCAAAAAGCAGAATTAAAATGTTAAGTATTTTTTGGCGGGGCTCTGGTTCAACCAGAATATCGTGGATTCTGCGAAATGTTTTGGTTGATGTTGATCTCAATTTGTTTGGTTTTACAGACGGCGTGGGTGTGTGTGTGTTTGTGTGTGTGTTTGAGTCAGTGTGAATTGCATGACTTGCAGTGTGTGTCAGTTCTGTCTGCAGAGTCATGTGCATGGTGATGTGAAGATGTCATGTGGCTTCTTTGTTTTGCCGCTTTCCCTCTCTGCTTGGTTAAAAAAAGTCTTCTATTTTTATGACTATAAACTAGTGAAATAGTTGGCTTTCTGTGAAAGAAAATCTGCCCACGGAACAATGTGGCATGTTGAAATCTGTTCAATGCTTTGGTTTCTCGTTTATTCTACTGTTTCTTGGAAAATGCATATTGAAATCTGTTTATTGTGTTGGCTGCTTTTGTTGTTTTTTTGTGTTTTGGCTTTTTTTATTTTGCTCTTTGTCTCAAGAAACAAAATGGTTTAAAATAGTGAAAGACATGCTGAGCAGATCACAGCCTACAGGTCTCTACTTATGTTATAAGAATGTAAAAGGGACACACTTCATTCATTCAAACACAACTGGTTATTAAAGCCAAACACTCCTTCTCCTTACCTTTTCCATTTATCATATTTGAATTTCATTCTTTTTTCTTTTTTTTTTTTCGTTTTACCACTTTCATCACAATAAATCAGTAATCTGTCGATCTTTCCTGAATTACTTCCTGTGTCAGGTCATGCTCTCAGCTCGGTGCCTGCAGGTGAGACTGTCTTGCATTATGATGTGATTTTAAATGACAGACCTGTAAGGCCAGATATGTTAAGAACAAGCTGTCTTACCTCAAAAGGGATCAAAGTTCTGTTCTAATTCTTGTTTGGCAAATTGTTTTGACTGATGGCATTGTGGGATCATGTTATTGTATGATAAAGATGAAGATTTTTATATCTTATAATATTAAAAGCAGAGTTGCTATGACAAACTGTGTGACTTGGTTATTTTGTTATTTTATCTTTAAATCTACTTTATTTCCACATAGAAAAAAAAAGCATAGTTTCTTTTAAGAAATATGAAGTGTTCCTGTCATGGATGACCGCTGCACCCTTGGAGTATTTTTTTGTTTGTTTTTTGTTTTGTTTTGTAGCCTGAAATTTACAATTTTATGGTTGCAATGTGAAAAATGTAAGGTAAAAAAATGGATTAAACTAAAATAATCCTGATAGCAAGATATATTCCAAATCTGAAGATATGATTTCATGTTTATATTTTAAGGCCTCTATCTGGATAGAGGCCTTAAAATATAATAGTTATGTATTTTTTAGTAATTTTTTAGGAGCCAAACTGTCTTTCCATTGATGACCACTAGAGGGAGACAAAGGGCAGTGCTTGAATTTTGAAAATCCAGGCTTTTGAGGTTGAACAAATTCTTGATGAACAGAGAACTTTCAAAAACTGAAACTACTGTGTTGACGTCAAACTCAGTTACATTTAGTTTAATTAAATAGCGGCTCAGTGGGAAGATAAGTCATTTTGCAATCCAAAAGTTTTAGGTTTGTCTCCAGTTTGATGTCGATGTGCCTGTTGGCAAGGCACTTAACCCCAATTTGCTTTTTGCTGTGTGTATCAGTGTATGAATGTGTGCTTACTTGTGAGTGTGGATGAGCAAACATGACTTTACTGTAAAGCACCTTGAGTGGTTTTATCATTTATTAAGCTTACTGATGAGTTTTTAGGATTCTCCCACAGTTGTTTAGAGTAGAATCGTGTAAAATCATTGTTTTTGCACAGTGGAAGCAGTTTGTAATAATAATGTTTTCAGCATGTTTTCACTGTATTTTAGCTTTCATTTCTACCTGCTCTGTATGCACAGCAGCAGTTCCTTATGTAACCTGCATCTGAGTAACTGCTGCTCATATTGCTGGGGCTCCTATAGAGCGTTTTGAAATCGTTTGTGCTGAGCAGACGTAAGGCGGCATTTTGTGAAATAAATGCCTGTGTCTGTCCTCAGACAGCAATGCTCACTTTATATGCCTCCGCTGGGCCCTGCTCTCTGAGCACTGACGTCATTGTGCCAGTAACTCGCACTGCAATGAATGACTTCCAGCTCTTTTACGCCTGCTCCCACTCACACACGTGCATGCAGGCTGACTGACTCAGCCTGCTGCTGCAGCAGGAACAGAGAACTGATATTGATTACAGGGCAGTAAAACAGGAACACTATTGTTTGTCTGCCATTTCAGGAAGAATAGGAAAGTGGTGCATTAATTAATTTTTTTGCTTGTCTTGTCTCCTTTGTTCATCATTACTGTCTGTTTTCCTACCAGCTTATCAGTTAAGCTGTAAGCTGTTGAAGGAAAACTTCAGGACATTATCGTTGTTTAATGACGTCTCACCAGTTAAAACATTTTTCTCTTGCTGATGTAAGTTAAGATTCCAACATGCTCTACATAAAGCTGAATATTTATGCTTGATATCCCACTGCAGCACACAGTTATTTGATAATTTATTAGGTTTATAGTCTTGGCAATTGTTATCCATAATTCATCTTTACCTGCACAAACATTACAACGCTGTGTAGCTAAACCTCATCTAGTACTTTTTTGTCCCTGCAGTACCCAAACTAGATTCCTGTGATATATAACAAGTTACTTGTTACACATAGCATGACAACTAAACTTCTGTGGTAGACGTCCAACTTTGTTAATTCAGAAATGATGTACAATTTACCATCCACTTCACAATTCCCAATAAAATACAGTCGTTTACAGTTGCAATGTAACAAAACAGGAATAGTATAGGCACCGTATATGTTGAATTAATAAAAATAAGTTGATCTGGTATCTATATTCCTGCTACGCTTCTTCTTATCCTCTTCCCTGAAGGCTTCTTACTTATTTATCAAACTGGATTATGTAACAGACTCACTACAAGACTGCTAAGTACTCTGCAGCACATTTCTGATGTTTCAGATGGACAACAGAGAAGAAAAAAACAGTGTGAGCCAGAGATGGACCAGATAATGCAAAAAGTACTTTAATGCCCACACGTGCATGCTCAACTTACAAACACATGACAGATTAAAGCAATCGGGAACAGAGAGTTTGGTTTGAGGAGCGGAGGCTTTTGTGTCAGTTTTAGTTAGGAGGGGATAAATGGGAGATTTGTGAGACGGGATGGAGATAATTGTATTTTTAGAAGGATTTGGCACATGAGAGTAATTGCACTTTATCATGGAAAATGTACCATGTAATTGTTTTTCCTGGAGCTTTCAGCGGTTTGCAGGAAAACGGATTCTTAACACAGATTTTTGACCTGGTAGAAGCTGATGAGAGTTAATTTCTGTAATATGATCAGTTATGAGCTTTATTAATTCATCTTTATTGACTTGCAATGTGAAAGTAAAAAACAAAGCAGAAAAAGAAATGTTGTAAAAGTTTCTCTTTTACAAGAGAAAATTTGATGGTTGTGCAAGTAGGAAATAGAAATTTTACAGTAAAATCTAAACAGGTCAAGTTCTACTCTTGAAAAAGGTTTGCTGCTCTCCAGGGAGTTTAAATTTATGCTCCAAAAGATGAAGTCAGTGCTCAATGATTTTTACTTGTGGACTACTGTATTTCTTCTTTTTTTATTTATTTTTGTCTTTTGCAGCAGGCGTGTTGCAGGCAGTGTTCAGAAAATAAGTGTGTGCATGTCTATGTGTTTCATTAAAAGTTAAAGAAATCTTTCTGCATAAATATTTTATGACACCTGAAGCTTTCAGAAAAGTGCAGCTTATAAATGTTAACATTTTTTTCTTTTCAAAGTTATTAGTGCAGTTTGTGTTCGGGTGTGCTCAGTAGTTTGGAAATTACGTTAATCATTCTAAGCTCTGTTTGGCTAGTGGTTGAAGAAAGTGCAGGATATAAAGCCTTTATCTATGTTTAAAGATATTATAAATTATGGATTACTTTAGAATCTTTCCTATATTTAGAAGTTAGCAAAATAAGATTGTTTATATGAGATATACTTTGCTATGCTGACTTCCATCTAGGCTAGACGTCAAGAGAGAAGAATACTTTAAGGTTACAAAACGCTTTTATTCTGAAGGTTCAGCACATCATGCTGGATAATAAAAGGTTCTGCAGTTAAATCTGGAAGGTTCTGATACGGGTTTGTGTTCATCATTTTTATTGAACTATTGCCATTAATTTATTAACTCCTCGGTGCTGTGCAGCCACCTTGGCCTGAAATAAAAACATTTAAAACAAAGCATTTGTAAAATGAATGAAAAGCTTCAATTGCATTAAATTTGAATTGATTTTATGTGTTTCTGCATTACTGTATGTGTTTTCTTCCAGTTTATTTCTTCCTCCTGTACATTCAGATGCTCACAGTCCATCCTCGCCTCTTTCTTTGCCTCATCTATTTTTTGCTGTTTTCTGTAATGCTCCTTCGTCACTCTAGTGAAGCTAAAAGCAAGAAGAGAGCAGCTGCAGCTCTGACTAATGCATCGCTGATCCTGAGATAAAAGCAAAGAGCTGAGTCCATGAAGACACATGCACACCCACCTCTGACCTGCTGAAAGCTTCATCTGTTTCCCTTCACCTTGAAAGAAGACATTTATTAAAAACATTCATGGTTTAAAACACAGCGCCGTTTCCCCTCTTATTAGTCTTTTGTTTTTGTTTTTTTGTGAACCTGAGCTTTGTCTTGCTTAATTCATCATCTGTGTCCTACAGCCAAATCAGTCAATATGTCTAGACTGAAGGTCAGGTCAGCTTTTAGAGCCTATGGCAGTAAATTGAAAAATGAATTTAGTGAAGATGATGTAACGAGCTGGAGCCTGATCTGAGCAGCTCAAGTTCACATCCAGACACTTTGATGTAGATTATCCTGATGTTACATAAAGCAGCAGATCAAACAAAAACTCTGCAGCATGTTTAGGTGAACATGGTGCAATTCTGTTAAAATGTTAACATAGATGGGGTTTTAGTCATTTTATTCGTTTGAGATGATTCTTTTATACTCTTTTAGTGAAAGCGAGGCTGCTTTTTGTTGAGCATGATGGAGTAGTGGCAATGAGCAGTAATGCTGTGTAATCAACTGATTGAGGGAGAGATTAAGTGGAGCATCACCCCTCCCTCCTGCTCTTGGCTGCTGATGTCGAGACTGGGTTGCTATGGGCAACCGTTCGGGCAAGAGAGGAAAATGGAGGCACCACCTGGTGTGCAGGATGGCAACAGAGAGGCTGAGAGAACAGAAGGGAAGAGACATCATGTCAGAAGGACACTGAAGTCAGATTCTGACAGCGGAGCTCAGGAGGATGACGAGGGAGAGTCAGACTGAGGACACTCAGCCTGCCAGCATCAGCAGCCCGGAGGAAGGCTGGCCAATCACCAGCTGACATGCTCAGAAATTCAGGAGCCAATGAAATGCCAGCAAGCCCCCTCCACAGCACAACAACTCGGACGCAGAGGCTGCACGATCTGATGTCTTGTTGATGAATGGAGCGCTTCCTGGGCTGCATCGCTGCACGTCTCTGCTGCTCTTTCGCCTGAAACGGGAGGATGGAGAGGAAAATCAGCAAAGATGGAGGGAAAAACGGCGCCAAGGCTGTGAGAGGACGGCGAGCAAACCCAGAGAGCCCCGATGAAAGCTCGGCTGAGGACGAGGCAGCAGCTTTTAAAGGGACGGACTCGCATCCTGATCTCCATCTGTCGGGCTCATCGTCTCCATCACCGTCCTCCTCCTCCCCTCTTCCTCTGCCCGCCATGCCTCCGTCCGTGTCCGCCTCTGCTCTCCTGGCTCTGGCGTCTCCAGCAACCAGGCGGTCCATCTCCATGGGAGACTTTCGGAGGGTGACGGGGGCTCTCCTGGCCGGTTCCGATCCCCCGTCCACTGCTGCCACGGCGCCCTCCTCCAAACTGGTGACCCCCAGCTCCAGCATGGAGTTCGAGGCGGCGCGGCGGCGCCTGCTGGAGGTGGAGGAGCGGCAGCGGGTCATCCGGGAGATGGAGCGGCGGCTGGAGGAGCTCAGGGAGATGTTTGTGCGCTCCGAGCAGCAGGTGGTGGTTCACGGGGAGCTGGTGTCGCGGATAACCGGAGCGGCCCAGCAGGGTGAGCTGTACGTGGCGGAGAACACCCAGCGGGTGAAGAAAGGCTTGAAGTTCAAGAAGCATCGACCCACCATCGTGTTTTCCTCCATGCTCGGACTGCGCACGTGCCTCCCCTGGCCTGTGAAGCTCAAATAAGACGTCAGATACTTGCATTTCACACATGACATTAGAAATGTGCTTTACATTAAATAGTGAGGGATGGAGCTCCATCCATTAGCTCTCAGTGACACGGCTGCTCTCCACCTTACTGCTCTTGAATCCTGAGGCTGGTCCCTCAGGGCTTAGAGTGCCTAGACATCACAGAGGCCAGTGAGGAGCTTCCGGTTCAGCAGATTTCTGGGAAAAACTCCCTGGCTATAGCTGGCACCAGTGTCGTTGTGTCCTAGTTGTTCTCACAGATTGTTTGCTGCTTGCAGTTATTGTCAGTGCTTGCTTTTGAGAGATTCATGTCAAATTCATGATGCACAGATAAGTCAGGGGGATGTGGGAGGTGAGCTTCACTCTGCTCTCCTGTCAGGAGGTTCTGCTGCACTTTAACTTCTGCAGCAGTGAGGAGGCTTTAACCGGTAAGCTTATTGAAGAAGTGGCAACACAACAGTGTAGATCGCTGAACTATCTGCCTCTGCAGCTCATTAAGGGCGAAGTGAAGGACAGGAAGGTAAGATGAGACGTTTGCTGCACTGTTACATAAAACTGATGCAGACAGATGCAGAAATAGAAAATGTAACTGTGGGAAATGACTGGGGGAAAAAAAAGTGCCTTGGCTTCTCTGAGACTGCTCATCCCACTGTCATAGCAGCATTAAGAAAAGACAGTTAATAAGGGGAAACAAATCATGCTGGGACACTTCCACCTGTGGCCTCTTTTTATCCTGTCACCTAGCAGCCATTTATCCCTCCATCCTAAATCCTCTTCCACAAAAATGCAGAATGTATCCAGCTGAGAGCTCTGATTACACTACTGTGGCAGGGATTTAGTAAAACAAATGATAAACATCAAGATTTATTATTATTATTATTATCATATCCGCTTCTGATGATCGGGGGTTATATTTGAGTTACTCATGCATGCATCAGCTTGTAAATCTTAGCTATGCTATCTCTGCTGTCTTAATGAAGAACAAAAGACGATGTTATGAGCTACAGGTTTGCTTATTAGAACGCAAATATAACTCTAAGTGCACAAAGACCTCGCTGATATGAAATTATAGTGGTAATTGCAGGTTTGAACAATTTATTCAAGGGTTTATTCACATCATGTTGCAGCATTATCTGTTAAGCGCAACACATTTGTCCCATAATATATATATATTTTAATTTCTATGTATGGTTTTGTCTTTGGATTAATGACTTTTTGCATTGTGTTTCTCTCCTTTGATCTGCACAGGTATTAATTACATCAGGGATGTCTCGTTTGGGCATTAACAGGTTATGGTAGTGATCCACACTCAGTCAAGGTTCACTGTTTGTTTGTCAGGGTAAAATGTCCCGACAAACACCCTTTTTTCTACAACAACACAATCCCTGATGGTGCTTTGTTACAAAGAACCAGCAGCAGGGAGACACAAACTTTGATTGTATCATCACTTTCGCTAAATGATTCACTCTGTTTGTGATTTTTTTTGCTTGCTTGCACAGATTTAATGGATGTATTAGAAGCATCCATTGTATGTACTTTTATAGAGTAAAGAATAACAGAGGAAGACACTAACGGGAGACCAGGTTGCCTGTGTTTGACAAAATGCATTTCTAAGAAACCTATGATGCATTTGAAGGATGTGAAGACTCACTCCATGAGGCTGGTTCACTTCAGTAGGAGCTGGATTTGGGTCATTGCTAATTTTGACTTGAAGGGCTTAAAAATGGAGTTTGTCTGTGTTGCTTGGAAACACTTAAAGGAGCATTCTGTCAAACAATTTATTCATATTGCAGATCTGAGACTTTTTCAGAACAACAGTAAAAGATACAAGTATTTCCATCCTGACTGATATTTTAAAACAATGACACAGCAAAATTTTGTATTTATTTTAATTAGTTATGTGTTTTATGACGACAAAAACAGCTAAAAAAAATCAATTGGTTCTGCATCCCAGCCAACATGTGCATGTCTGCCTATTATGGGTTTTACTCTGGTTGGACGGACCGTTTAAATACATTTTTATTGGCAATCCTGTTGGACATGCTATGCATGCTATCGCTTAGTCCAAAATGAATACAAAGAAAATCAATTATCTACATGGGTCCTACTTTTTTCCCCAGAATTGCCTTTTATAAAACCTATTTCAGAATTTCTCTGTAACCTGTGAGAAATCTTATCTGGCAACTCAGATGCCATTCAAATACTTACAGGGATGTTTGGCTGAAAGAGTTTTTCAGTGTTCGATGCAGTGATGAAATGTTCTGATGATTTGTATACAAGTAGCCTGGTTGTCCTCATTAGTTTGAACCAGGAAGTTACTCACATTCTCCACTGCACTTCACTTTTCTATATGAAGCAAAGACTGCATAAGAGAGAATTTAAAAGTTACTTGTGGTTTTAACATGAGAACTGTTGTGAGAAATAGCTGGAGTGCCTCTTCATTCAAAGAAACTTGCTCAGACCAAAAGTTTCTCTTGACCTACTGATAGCCACGACGTCTTTCTCCTTGAATGTTGATTAACGCCATTTAGCGAAGCATTACACATGCCCAAAGTAAAAGAAAAAAAAAAACTTTCTGGCTTTGTGCACATCTATACCAAACATTATTGTAGAAAGGTTTTATTGAATAAAGAAGTCTGAAACATGTATTTATGCTCCTGTATATATAGAGCTACCTGTACATACAGTTAGCCTGATTTGCTGTTTGAGATATTTCTATTTTGGTGTTTACAGAAAGGATGGTACTGACACAAACAGCCAGACAACATTTACATATGGGCCCCATAGGGGGAGAAATTGACTGAACAATGGGTCAAAGGTGGGATTGTATCCAGGTTACACACTGACTTCATTTTAATGTTTTGTTGTAAAAGAATATTGGAATCAATGTGGATTTTCTTTATTAAGTCCCACATGGGGGCCTGAATTTTATGGCCTCTGGTTCCAAGTGGGTTCAGACTCACAACTCAGTCTAAGCAAACTTTCTATAGGGCCCACATATGCATGTTGACAGGGAACGATCTTTCTTTTTTTAACCTGAGTGGGACTAAATAACTCAGTCATTCTTTGATGTGGAATTGCACTTTTTATTTTCTGAATGGAAAAAACTAAACAAAACACAACATCCAAAGATCTCGGGACCCACTTGCAGAATGAATGTAATGTTGATTGTTGGGTGTTTTTGTATTTTTTCTGAACACTGGAAATGGAAATATTGCAATATTTCCATTTTGAACCTGTGGCTAGCATTTACTTTGAAGAATTTGGAAACTGTTAGCACAGCTCTAGCGTGTTTAGCCCTTTACTCACATCAACACTGACTAGCCACAGGCTCAAAACCACCTTTATGATGTTTAGCACTTGAACGTTTGAATAATTCATGTTTACTTATGCATACCAGTTATTTATTGCTTTATAATATGTGTGATATTCTTATGGTATGATTAAAAGCTATAGCTTTTTTCCTCAGTTATTAATGACTATGTGAATACAATTAGAGCTTCACACTTCAGCATCATCTGTTTTTGATGAAAAAAGCTTTATGATAAAATGTTAATTCATGTTCTGCTTTGGGTTCCTGCTTTGTTTAGTTTGCAACTATAAATTTCTGCACAATTATTAAAAGACTCCTCTCAAGCTCATCTTTTGAAAGACTATTTGTTGGCAAATTGATACAATTTATTAATAAATAAATTAACTAAATGACTTGAATGTGTGGGGGTGGAGGGGGAGAATCTTGTTTCAGGTCAATATGTTTGGAGAAGACAAACATGAAGGGTTAAATTTCACATGCATTGCTTGAGAAAGGGAAAGTCTCAGGACTATTTGGGTCACCTTGCAGCATTTCACAGCAGCTTGCAGGACATGGTCAGCAGAAAAAAGCTCTTTGACGTAACAAGATGCCAGAAGGAGCAAGCTGTAAAAGCTGCATCAGCCACAAAGATTTAGCAGGTCTTAAACTGTAATGCTGGCCCATTAAATCCCTTTCTCAGCTGATTGTTTGGTAAAGGGAGGGGTTTGATAAAAGAATTAATATTATTACCCACTTCTGAAAGCTTTTCGTTGGAAGTGAGGGTTTATGATGTTACATTACGATGATTATATCATTTTTCATAAGAAGCATTAGCATTTACATGGAATTTACAGTTGAATCCAAGATATTTACACACATTTTATGAAAACACAAACATCAAAATGAACTCAAATCTTTAGATTAGTTAGAATTACCTAAATGCTGTTTTATGCATTCAAACAATTACATGAAAATCTAAATATTATGGAAACACTGTCCAGGAACCAGATGAGATGAATGAATTTTGGTTATAAATCTCTGATCCAACCTGAGAATAAGAGCAAAAACCTTGAGAAAAAGCTGCCACTGGAAAAGTGGTGCACTTTTCCAAGTCATGTTCCAAATTAGGCGGAAAAGCCATTCAGGAAGGAAGAGGTCATTACACTGAAGGCAAGAAAAAATAGGGACAAGTGATGTATCTTTGGAATGAAAATTAAGAAAACTTAAGTGTTTAGTCTTAATTCCTCACCTTTGGGTAATTTTTCCTCACACAAAAGTGAGGAAAAATTGGTAATGTCTAAAAGTCAGAGTGAAAACAGTGAAGTCTGTGAAAAATCTCAAAATATCTAGCAGGCGAAAAATGGGATTTCCAAATGGACGATAATCCTAAGGATTCCACCAAATTAGTCACAAAGAGGCTTGTGTGAGTGTAAGACCTGACACATTTACAGCAGTTCTGCTGCAGGGAAATAAGCCCAGAAATTCAGAAAAAGATCTTATACTTTAATGCAAAATAGTGAACCTTTTAAGATGAGTGCTGTTTGTGTATATTGCATGCACCAATGCATGCCACACGCAGGCCTGATGGGGAGAGAAGCTTATCTGTGCTGACAGAACAGAGCAGGCTGCAACCTGATGGGTTTCCTGTGCCGGCTGCTTATGTAAGTGACAGGTTGGAATTTCATCATTCTGACTTTCGGATTGCGGGTCAGGGTAAAGTAACATCCAGATGGGTTTAAATCGAGGCTGCAGGGACGACTGCCAAAAGAGAGGTCTGAGGAGATTTTCCTCAGAGACGCATCTGTCAGATTAGAGACAGAAAAAATGCACAAATTCAGCTAAAAAAAATCTCTAGATTTAAAATGTATGTTAAACATTTCACAATTATGACAAATAATTTACAATTTAAATGTATATTTCAACTTTATTCTCATACAATTTTATTGTCGTAACATGATTATTCGCAAAATGACTTCTCATATTATTATTATTATTATGTTATTCTAATATTTGGATTTTATTCTAATATTTAGACTTCATTCTCGTAATTCTGGCTGTTCTCAAAATATGACTATTTTCATGTGATTACGACTTTACTTTGACTTTCTTCTCGTGCTTTATTCTCATAATTTTATGACTTTCTCATAGGAAGACCACATTGGTGTAATATTATGACTTCTTGTAATTGTGAAATCTTCAGATTTCAACCCCATGAGTTCAGAAACAGAAGCCAACAACCTGGGCTCAACGCCAAAGCACTAAGACAAAAATTTGTCACCACCAGTTTGGATTGTAAGTAGAATTAATATTCAGGGTGAAAAAAAATACAGAAGTTAAAATTAATAATATTTAACACTGGGAAAATGTGAACTATGCATGAATTTAAGAATGTAGAAGGAAAACTTATTGAATAAAAAAATATGCCCACTTAATGAATAATGTAACCAATGTTCTTAGTTTTAGCATCTGTTGTGTAAATAGAAACAAAGATATCACTTTATTTACAGCAAAGCGCTTCATTAACCATGTTTAATGCATATGTTACAAACTAAAGCAGGCTCATTTCTTGTTTACATGTCATACAGTCCCACTGAGAGTCACAATCTGCTGCAGTCATCTGCTCCCTCACACTTCCATGTTTCTCTGCCTAATCACAACACAGTAATTGGACAATGTGAACAGAAAAATCAGACTCCAAACCAGTTTTCTAAATGCTTTTACCCCTTTAAGTTAAATTTTCCTTTAACACCATTATTCTGACTCTAGCAGTCAGGTGGATAACCAAAGCAAATTTTGCACAATAACATGTGATATTAAGTTAAAAAACAAAAAGTAACACTGTCCCTTAAAATTCATATCACGTGGGAAAACAAGCAACATAAAACAATTATTCAGGATGCATGTTGAAAGTGTGCACAACCATGGCACAGTGATGACCAACATAAATAACTTTCAAACGTTTTCCACCTTTAATTTGACATTTTATAGAAATCACCCTACAAACAGACCTGGTTGCATAAATATACACACCCTTATGTCTCATCCAGAGTTTGAACACCTCGAGATGAGACACTTTGAGAAACTGGGACTGCTATGCTTCTCAATTCATCATCTAATTCCTGTTCTCACATGGCAAATTTCCTATATCCAAGCACTCAAGATCAGATATCTTTCGATGTACAGTCAGTTCAAGAAAGTCTAGGCGTTTGTACTCCACCACTGACAAAAAATAAAGCATAAAATCACTTAGAAATCACAAACTGGCTATGAAATGCTCATACCTGCTTCTTTCTTTGCATGGTTACCCTGAATAATTAGGCGTTGTAATTCATACACCAACTCCTGATGTCCACTACTATCTGGTTGAGTCTAAACTTCTTTTTTTTTTTGTTTAATTAGAGACCTTTTTGTAAAATCCATCATGCAAAAAACTAATTCCTTAAGTTTTTTTTATTGCTTTAATCCCAGAAAAGTATCATGTCCACTCCAGTAGATGAGGTGTCTGAAGGAGTGAAGGATGTTTACACTTATGCAAGTAAGTTTGTAACATAATCTCGTACTAATAAATGCATTTTCCAGCTGAACTGTACAGGATATTGCTCACATTAAAGGTGGAAAAACTTAATGATTCCTCTTATTTGCATACTTGGAATTTTATTACAAACGTGTTCTCCTTTTATATATATAAGAGGACATGTTAAGTTTATTAAGTGTTACGTTTGACCAAATATGTACAAAAAAGGTGTAAAAGAAATGTGTGTCATTTACTCACAAAAAACTTCCTGAATCCTGGAAGCTGATCCGTGAGTAAGCGTGCATGTGTGGCATGAAAAATATGGCCTTACAGTGAAAAAACCTTGAACAAATTACTGTGCTGAGGTGCAATTATTAGCGAGTTCACTTTAAGTGCCATTTCCTGGACGGACAGAGGGACTTCTTGTATTTATTTTTCCCTCCAACACGCTGCTGTTATTCCAGGTTCTCCGGGGACTGATGCCTGGAGGCAGTGGGAAACAGGATCCTGGCCTCCGTCTGCAGCCAGCCTGGGCCTGGAGTCGCCGCGGCTCAACCAAAGTTTCAGATCTCTCATCGGGCTACGCAGACATATCGACGCTTTACTGGAGACAGACTGGCAGGCACGATGCGGACCAATGTGCGGCAGATACTGAACCTCATGTGACTCATTAACCTCTGATTTAAAATCCTTGTCATTTTCCGTTCAGAGGGAAATAAAGCAGCTAACTCCGATTTCAGCAGATGGCTAATTAAACATTTACAGCTCTCCCAACTCTTTGGAGGATTCCTCTGAAACTTAAAGTGCCTTCAAGAGGTTTTTGTACTGCAGGGAAATTTTGGCTATATGCACAAGTCTTGTATCAATACAGGCAGCTTATATATCTGCAGCCCAAATGTTTTATTAATATTGAAAAGAACATTAAAGCAAATCATATCTTTCCTTTATCGTTGCACCTGCAGGTTTAAGACAACAAATAAAAGTTTCCAGTTTCTTTGTTGCTTTCTGAGATGAGTAATAATCCCCTAAAAAGACAATTTAGTCATGCAGATGTCCTTTGGTCAGTAGATCCTGATGTGAAAATACTCCCAGATTACTTGGATCCATGAATAGAACAGTATTTCCTTTCCCACATGAGGTCATGAAGTCCAAACTAGCATCATTCTGTTACTTTGTGCACATAGTTGACAGGAAAGGTTCCACTCCTCGAAGGGTCACCATCAATATGCCCGACCTGTCAGAAAATGAGAAATGCAATGTTCAAGTCTCTCACACTGCATAAATAACTCAATTTATAATAAAGAATTTGACATTTACTGAATGTCATTTCAAAACATTTGTAAAATAATGAATGAAATGTCTATGATAAGCACATTAATCATCAGCTGTTAGTGAAAACTATCAGTAAATATAGTTTTGTAGCACAAAGCTGAAAAATGTCTGCAGTGCTTTGCAAAAGTATTCACATCCCCTGAACTTCTCCACATTTTGTCACATTACAACCACAAACTTAACACTTTTTCTGATTTCATTTGTCGCACCGACACAAGTTAGTGCTCAATTATGGAATGAAATTATAATTTCCTTGAAATCTAAAAAGTATGACACGAATTTGCCTTCAGTCCCACCGACTCTGATTCCACTAAATAAAACCCAGTTCAACTAGCTGCCATGTGAAGTCGCCTAATTAGATGTTTTTGTCAATTCTTCCCTCACACTAAAAGCTCACACTAAATTTATTATTAAACTTTAAAAAATATGTAGCTAAAGTTTAACCAGTAATACTTTTATGACAAATTTATGTCAGATCATCATTAATACAGTACAATACAATGAAGCTGGTGGTTGTATCTACAAAACGTGAAGAAGTTCAAGGTGCATGGCAAGTGATTCATTAGGGAGCAACACTGAATACAATTGTTATTCTTAAAAATTCAACTTTTTTAATGTATGATTTTATTTTAATAAAAAACAAAATTCAACCTTTGCAGAGAAAAAAAATGAAGCTTAAAAAGAAAATTGTAGTTGCACTTACCCACCAGTGGGGGTCATTAGTGGCTGTGACCACAATGACCTCATCTTTGAAGAAGGAGAGTTGCTCGGTGCTGACCGCTCGGCAGTCCACCAAAGCCTTGACGCGTTTCTGTGGCCTGCTGACCGAAACCTGCGGGAAACGAGGATCACCATGAGAAAAACCTCTCTGGTTGTGCGTTTCGCCGGCTGAGCGAAACACAATAAGGTGTCTGTGCGGTCGTACCATTGCATTCCTGCGGGAGCGAGGGCCACAAGTCACAGTGGGGGAGGAAGAAGGCGCTGGAGCCGAGGCGTTTCCGTTCCCCACCAGGCTGCAGTACAGCTCCTCCTGGCTGCCCAAGCAGGGCGGCGCCAGAGAGCCCACGCTGCCCTTTCCGAAGCTGCCACCTCCGGTGCTGGTGCGCCGGTAGGAGGTGGTCTTCTCTGAACTGATAACAACACAGGAGGACAGTCATTACAAGAAGAGACACTTGAATTTTACATTTGCATTTCTTTTTCTTTGTTCTGTGTAATTCTCCAGAACTACTGATAGTAGAGAAGACCCTTAGCATGATGCTACCACTTCCATGCTTGACAACTAGTACAATTTGGGGCGGGCGACATGGCTTGGAAGTAAAATCTACAATTTTTTCATCTAAAATTCAACTTCAATCAATCAATTTCCAAAAGTTGATTTTATTTCAGACATCCTTTCTGTGAGCTAAATCCAAAGTTCAAATAAATCTCCAAGGCATTGAATAAATATTTTTATTCTGAGGATAATCTGGAGCTCTTTTCTCACCTGACTGGTCCATCATGATTCAGATTGGACGCCTGTGAGACACTTGGAGGGGTTTGGCCGTCCCAGGTCTGCCTGTGCGATCTTTGCAGACCTCCTTGTCCGTGTGGGGACCGTTGGGCTCTCCCACTGTGACTCTGGGTTTCTGTATTTGACGAAGAGGAGCCGTGTTTCGTTTGAGTCTGAGGACTGGAAGAGTGGGATGTCGGGTTGGAGCAGCGGCGCAGGATGTGGGCTCCTTCCTGGACTGTTGTGACTGAAATCTGCGGGTCTGAGCGGCCTGTGGAGGAACACACAGATTCAATTCTGAATGTCTTTATGGCAATCATGACTTTATTAAGATAATACATTTATTTAAGTAAAGATTATTCCCAAATTCATATAAATCAAAATCTGATCTTGCATCATTTACGCCTGGAAAAAAAAATCATCTTAAATTGAGCCATTGCAGTAAAATAATCGATAAAAGCCAAGTTTTCATTACAAATGTGTGCAAAACTTTGTTGATATTCCGCCAATGTAAAAAAAAAAAATAGAAAAAGCAATTTTGCAATAGCGATGTTTCCATTGAATAATTATTAACATGTGAATGTGTTTATTCATTCAATGTCATTACAAAGCATACTCCAACTACTTCCTGTTGTTTTCTTCATATTTTCTGCTGGTTACGGTTTTGCAAAATACATACATTTTGATGTAGGCGAAAAACCGCCTCATCCAAATCTTTATCAAAAAAATTTGTGTTTTTCTTTATTTGGCGTGTTTCCATTAAACAAATTTGTTTTGTAATTCCAATTTGACCAAGTTTATCGTCAATGGAAACGCAGCTACAGTGACCTACCTCTTAGGACTGATTTAGCTGGCAGCGGTGGCGGCAGAGATGCTCCAGTGGTGGCGCTGTTGGCAGGATTCTTATACAGGAAGTCCAGATTCTCATAGGTCTGACAGGGCCTGAGACCTGGACCTGTGCCATTGTTGGCTGTCCACTGGGCGAACGCAGATCCACCACCTCCGTTTGAAGGAGGAGAGCGGTTTTTGGGTAACGGACTCACCTGAAGGTAGAAGGAAGGAGAATGCTATAAAAATCTCCACCTTTCTGGAATCTTCTTTGGCTAAATGTCAAGCTCAGTAACTCAGTATTTGAGTGTGTGTGTGTGTGTGTGTGTGTGCGTGCGTGCGTGTGTGTGCGTGTGTGTGTGTGTGTGTGTGTGTGTGTGTGTGTGTTTACTCTCTCATCCAGGTCATCCTCACTGTCATAGAACTCCTGAGACTGACTCTCCCACATGTACTCCACATGGATCTGAGAGTTGAACTTCCCGCTTTGGGCCAGCTCCAACTGAACAAACACAACATGCATTAGTAGAACAGAAAAGACATTCTGCAAGGACACATTCAACTCTACGGAGGCCCCGAGAGGAAAAAAGAAATGTTTTCCCCCCCTTTGCGTTACCTCACAATAATGTCTTTGGTATTTTTTTTCATGCAGCATCTTGAAAACTGAAAGTCTTTCTGCTACAATATAAAGTTTTTCCATGTATGTCTCTCATTTGTGAGATATCAACCAATTTCACTGATGATCTTTTTATAGATATTAATTAGACATTTGCAATTTACTGCGAAGTAACATAAAATAAAATATTTCCCAGCAGGCCTCTAGGGGGCTCTGTAGCAGAAACTCCTTTAAAAAACTGAACTCATCATTCAGATTCAGTTTTATAAAGGGGACCTGGAGGCATCCTGCTCTCAGGTCACACGCTTTAGTTTATTCTGGATGACTCAAAGCTGTTCTCAGGTCAGCTGTGAAGTCCTCCCTGCATGTTCTGGTTTTGACCTGGGGTCTTCATCCGTTAGGATGTGACTAGAAAACCAACCTCCAAAGGGAGGCTTCCTGTTCACATCAAGTTCAACTATTAACACTAACACTCCATCCTGTAATCCAAGGTTATTCACGTCAGACAGGATGTGACTGAAGTTAATCCACTTTAGTGGGGGCTGATGGCCGGTAAGAAAATAAAAGCGGTTTATAAATGATGTACACTGAGGCCTGCTGGGGAGTTTTCTTTAAGCAGGGTTTCCAGCTGTGGACGTTGTGCTTTTTGGTTTCTGCTCTTTGTTTTCTGGTAGGTATTTTAATAATGTAATTTGAGCTCACTTTGGAGAATCGACATTCTATTAGCATTTTATTAAAATCTTTAAGAACAGAGGGAAAGTGTGCGCTCACCAGCTCGATGCAGTGAGTGTGCTGCAGCTTCTTGGCCAGGTCTAGAGCCGTTTCTCCGCTTGAGTTCACTACAGGAAAAACAACGGTAAATGCATGAGTTTCACTCCTTCCTGATGGTAACAGAAGGCTATTAGTAAAGTCCCTTGCAAAAGCATAAATACCGCTGATTATGTCCTGAGGTAAAAATCACCAGATAAAAGGTTAGGAGGAAGTTTAAATCAGGGTTCTTCTTTTATCCAATTTCATAACGGTAAGAAAACCCACTACAGTCCATAGTTTTAATGTGACAAAATGTGAGAAAGTTTGGGAGCTATGGAAATGTTTGGGAGGTTCTGTGGTCCAGTAAAATGTACCTGCATGAATAGAAGCCTTTGCTTTGAGAAGCAGCTTCAGTGACTCAGGATTGTGGTGCAGGACGCTGTAGTGAAGAGCCGTGTTCCCTTCGGTTGTTTTCTTCTCCAGACAGTTGCTGCATAATAAACAAACCAAACACACAGTTCATCCGAAGCTTCACCTCACTGCTTTTACAGCCTCTGTGAACAACAGATCTGTGTCTGGGTCTAACCTGTTCTGACAGAGGAAGTCCACCAGCGCAAGAGAGCTTCTCTCCTCCAGACGAACAGAGAGGTGAAGAGCCGTTTCTCTGACTCCCTACAGGAGGAAGAAAACAGTTCTGATTCAGTAATGGTTCTTCACAGATGCCCCTGCTTTATTTACAACAGTTAATCTTCTCCCCATTAGGTTCTGGATTTTTAAAATGTAACTGTTTTATGCTTGCAAAATATATTTCATGAAAAGCAATCATGAAAGCATGGTTTTAGAGGTAATTGTGTTTTAGTAAGAAGTGATATTACTGCACCTGCAGCATTATTTGTAACACTTTCTCCTGATCTGACCAGAGGATCATTAAATCTCACAAAAATATAATCTGATTTAAGACATTTGTTTTGTGCTTGAATTCATTTTGAAAAACTCAATGCAAACTATCCCCATAAAAACTGAAGCGGCCAGTAAACTGTTAACCACGACTGTATATTTACACGCTTTTTTTTAAATGACAGAATATAAGCCATCTGTCCAGTCTGGTTTAGCTGCACCACTGATCTTGATATTCTCTCAATGAAGCTTAAATTAGAGCTCAATTCGCAGCAACTCTTGTATTTTCATGCTAAAAAGTGAAAACTCTCCTGCAGTTTCATCTGTTTACATGAAGAGCTAAGGGAGTGGCGGCACTGCCTCCCTAATTCAATAAGCTCGTCTCATTTTCTCTCCAGAGACACAAGCTTTGACCTACAAGCTGAAATAATAAAAGCCAACCAACACAAACAAACAACCTCTCAACCACAAAGTAAATCACACTCCACATGCTGCTGCAGCCGGCCAGGAAGCCCCTGACAAAAGTTTAGAGCGTGATTAAAGAGAAGAAGAAAAGGCAGATGGGGGGATGGCAGAGGAAATAATAGATGAAGAGATGAGGAAGAAAAAAACATGGATTAGAGGCTAAAAAAGATGGGAGGCGTTTGGAAACCACTCCGAAGTTTCCCAAAACTTGACTCACTTTTTTACAATGTTATATGAGAAGGAATTAGATTTTACTTCAATTTCAACACCAGTTATAAAGAAAAAGAAGTAAAAACTTTCTGAAAAAGGTTACCAAGTTTACCAACTTTTTGTTTATTTATATCAAATGCAAGACATTTCGGCTTCATGACACGAATTTGAGATAAGTGTTCAACTCGAGGCTCAGGGGCAAAATCCAGCCCACGATAGCTTCTGGTGTGGCCCTCTAGACTCCAGACAGAGGCATAAACACAATCTTCAAGATAACTTATGTGTCCAGATATTATTTTATCAATCAAATCAAAGCATTTTTTATCTGCCAAATTACATAAATAAGTCCCAGTTTCTCTGGATTCCGCAATTGTGGAAATTCATGCTAAATCAACAGATCCCCACATTTTTTGGTGCAAATGTTTTCTGCAAAACATTGGGTTTAAGTGACTGTTTTCTCCCATTTGTGGATGGCATAATTTCTTATTTTTACTATCCTGGTGTCTCAGTTTTATTTGATATAAAGTTATAGTCTGTTATTGATATGGCAAGTTACAAAATGTCACTTTTACTGTCATACATAAATGAACATTTTGTAAAATTCCTTACAAATGTTTCGAAATTAGCATCACAAAATCCAGGCAAAACATTATAAACAATCACAAAATTCTGGAGAAGCTGATCAGTGTGAAAAGATGTTCAGCATTATTTAAGTTTAAGAAGAACTTTTTGCTATTTATTAATATTTTAACATTTTGTCGATGGGTTTTATCAATACATTCTGACACAACTAGCCCTTGTGAACAATCATGAACTTGATGTGGCCTAAAATGAAAATGAGTTGGACCCCCCTGCTCTCTCAGGAACAATAAATGATCTTCACCTGTCCTTCAGGGAGCACCAGCGGTTTGGCCAGGTCTGTTCCCTCGGCATAGAGCTGCAGAAGCGAAACAAGGTCCCGGCTCCTCACCGCGTCGTACAGGCGACCCGGATCCGACTCTTCCCTGCGGAGGACGTACCGACGTTCGGCATACTTTGCCACTATGTACTCCTTCCTGGCATTCCTGTATGGTGAGGGAGGCTCATTAAAGATCTGACTTTATACTAATCAGATGTTTGACTGAAGAGACATCAGGAACTCACATGTCGCTCTGTGGTAACGGTTTGACAGAGTCATTAGGAAGCCCTGCTTCCATGATGTCATTAAACCTGGTGTTTCCGATGCTGACGGCCAACTGGGGAAACACACGGGAAAAAAAGAGCAAAATGAAGGCACGTCTGGGAAACGCTGGTATTTAATGTTTTCATCTGGATAATCCATAGGTATAAATTATAATATTCTGAGGTGGGTTTTTCTCGTACCAGTAACTCTGAGGTACTGAGCAAATCCAGAGTGAGCGACTGAATCCTGGAGTAATGGACTCCCAAATCCCTGTGGATGCCAGAGCATTCGATGCATGTGAGGATGCCCAGGTTGGTGGACAGCCATGTTGGGTCTGATGCAAAACAGAAAAGCACTTCAATTAAAACTACAGGCATTGCAAATAAACCAGTGGGTCCAAATATTTGGCCATCGAGACCAAATTTAATTCCAAGTATAGTTGATTAAAAACAAAAATATTCTGTGATTGTGAATGAATTAGGGAGTCATTATTTCTTTAAAAAATGTTTTCTAGGAAGATTTTAAAAATCTACTAAGATTTTTATGTAAAAGACAAAAGACGAGTTGTGTCCATCTGCACAAAAGGCCAGTGCTACAGGAAAACATGTTTGTACCATTTTTGAATTGAAAAATTCAAAATTAATTTTATATTTTGAATCTAAATAAATATTTTTTTAAAGATATTTTCTTTACAAAAAAAAACCACACAAATATTTCCCCCTACAAATAAAAATATTGCAATTAAAGAAGCTTGCACAAAATAAACAAAGCAAATAATGAATTGTTAAAATATTTTTGATGAGGGACCAGCTGACCTGGCGCCCCGCAGTCTGCACACGCCTCATTTCCTGGCATGTGTCGCAGATCTGCGATGATGGACTGGGAAAGTTCCTGCAGGCCGCTGTCCTGCACGTGGAGCTGATCTCCTCCCAATGCCGTGTTCAGGGCCTGCTCCTTACTGTTCTGCAGCACCGACACCCAGCTGAAAGCAAAACCACACAAAATGCCACGTTTCACAGTGAGACAGTGGGAAATCTCTGTGTCCAAAACATCAGACGTTTTACAGCGTGTCTTGTGCATGTGCTTGCACTTCGTTTAATGATCAGTCAGCACCACTTTTACTTTCTCAGCTTTATTAGTAACAAGACCCATACTGAGCCACATCTGCAACTTTGAGAGCTTCGGAACGTCTTTGCTACAAACTGTTTTCATCTCTCTGTGACCCCACAAAAAAAAGAACCTGTCAAGACGCCCATAGATGAAAGAAAAGCAGGGGACATTTACACACCCTCATCCAAAACCACATCAGAACACACTCAGATTCCTCACTAAAGACGTCCCACCCAGAACCAGCTGGGACCAGTGAGCCTCTCAACTAGTACACCGTATGCTTCACTTAATCTGAGCTATAAAAAGGTAAGGTTTTGCTTTTAAGCATCATTTTTACAAGAGAGAAGTTACAGGATTGGCCTGCCAGAAACTCAATAAGCTGAAGCACCATCATTTTGCACTAAACTGTTGCGCTAGCAAACGAGAGTCCTCTGTGTGGAAGTTGTTACCCGCTGTCTGTCGTGGAACATGATCCTAAAAGTGTGGCTAAAACGGACTGAGTGACTTTGTTCGCCTCCTTCGCTGCCATTGCTAAAACTAAAGGCAGACAATAATTGTAAAAGAGCAGAAAAGCCATGTCCTTTTCACAACTGCTCCATCTGTTCTCTGATTGACCTCATGGAAAATCTATTGGAAGAATCCAAGTGAATGGGAGAAAGCCCAGACTGTGCTGCGATTTGGAAGAAGTGGATTAGTGTCCATGCTTGCCTTCCCATAATGCCATATCTGGAATGCTGTTTTGTCAAAAAAAATGCAAAAATCACCCACACTTTCTGTTTTAACTTATCCAGTTCAGGCAGAATTTTTTTTCAGTGAAGTCTGCAAAACATCCTCCTTACACAAACCTACGCTCTGTATTCAAGAGCCTTCCTTCACTTGTCACGACTCGTTTCTAAGATAGTAAAATATAAGATAAGAACTGAACAACACTAAGCTGCAATGTCATCAGCACTTACATGAGACATTCCTGCTCATCGTCTGCTTGGAAATGATATGTCCGATTATCTGGAATAAATAAAAAATAAAAAGTCAAACAGCTGGTAAACTTGTTGGAACCTATATTAAATTAATTTCCAACTCATTTAAAACACATTTAGATTTCATTTCATATTTTAGGGATACATTTTAGGTAAAAAATAGACATACGAGTGACCAAATCAAATGTCTTCTTGTCCTCCAGGTTGGGCCGCACCTGACAGGTCAGAAGGTTCAGTTTGGCTGGAGGTCGATTGATCTGAATAAAAAAAACAAAACTTTCAGTTGAAGGACTTTTCAGACTTAAGCTTTATTTTCTCATTTGAATGAACAAAGTGAAAGCTTTTATTCCTCACCGTACTGTGGGAAATAGTCAAGTATCCAAATTTGACTCCACATTTTCTCCTCTGCCAAACTTTCCTGATCCTAGACGGTTAAGAGTGTAAAAGAAAAAAAAATCATCTGTTTTATCAGTGATATTACATTATTAGCAGGTGTGATTTGTGGTGAACAGCAAAGTGAGATCCTGAGCCAACCTGTTCCTCTGGTTTGGGTAGATCTAAACAAAGTGCTATCAAATTTTATAACTTCATTCCTGTTTTCATCAACTCAACTGGCTCAAGTTAAGAAAAAAAAAAAGAAGCAGAGAATATATTTTGTTTCTTGTCACTGGCCTGAGGAGGTTTTACTTTCCTCTGGTCTGTCATTTATTCAACTGAACCACATCCACTCTCCTATCTCAGGATAATCTAGTTGTGTGTGAATGTGTGTGCATGCGTGTGTGTAAATGCTGCAAAAGTTGGATCTGCCGGTTCGCCAATAAACTCCAAAGGAGGGGCCCCTGCTCAACTCTTCATCCCATAATAACAAAAACCACATGGTCCAGACAAAGCTCGACTTCGCCCCTCTCCCTGCATGCCTTTTCAACAGGCTCCAATGTCTTTTGATTGTTTTAAGTTGCATTTATAGCTTTGAAAAAAAGCATGAAAAGGCACTGCAAACGCAAAAGTATCCAAACAGGACAATTAAGATTTCTTCATCAGAAAGTGCTATCAGTCATTTGCTTTTTTTTCCCCAAGACCAAATTATTATCCAAATCCATCAATGGATTTCAAAAACCAGAGATGGATTCTTAAGTTGTAAGTAATTGTAAGACGACTGATTCAAAAATCAGAAGAAATCACACACCACTGCTCTTTAATGAGTTCATTTAAACTGGTTAAATCAATTTTGGGATAAAATAAAATGGATGTGAACTTTTGATAAAAGCTGTATGTGCAATCCTACTAAAAATCGATTATTTATTTATTGAACCCTGATGAGTTTATGTACCCGTCGCTCTTCTTTTGGAGGAAGCCGGATTTCTCAGTCCCGTATTTCTTGTTTCCTTGTGGCTGGTGGATGCTGTAGCCATTTCCAGAATTCTTCCGGTTCAAATACTCCTGGGATACAAAGACAGCTTAAGAACTTCACTCACAACATTAAACCAGTTGGTGGTTGTGGGATCTAACATGTACTGTGTGTAGTTCTTGTATTTTGCAACAGGTCAATAGGATGCAATGTGAATTTGTGTAAATAACGCAAATTAAAATGGACATTTTATTTAAAAGAACAAAATATTTTGATTCTTACCTGTTGTTAACTAATAACTTAGCCTTTGCAACATTAGACTGAACTCATTTGGTGAGGATTGTGTTTTTATTTTCATTGAATTTTTTGCTTGTTTGTTTGGCTGCTAGAAAAAAAAGATGAGTCCAGAACACATTCTTATTGGTTGTTAACTATAATGATATATTTTACATGAAATTGGCTGTTTACACAATAATTCCTTTAAATGCAGTTTTAAATTAAGTGTATGAGATACTGGCTGAGATATTGGGCAGAAGACATTCAGTACGGTATCAAAGAATTGAATAAAACAAATCTGAACTCTGCTTACCTCTTTTCCCTCGACCTGCAGAAGTAACTTCAGAGAATCCCTCAGCTGAAGGAGTTTTTTTACCTCCTCATCCTGCTCAAGTCGCATCTGCAACACATAAAAGTGTTTTACTCAACCTGAGAAATGCAAAATGAAATTAACTGGAAGAGAAACAAGTTATGTGTTCTGACGGTTCATTAGATAATTTGTATTTTTACCATCATAAAGTTAAATTAGAACTTTTTGAAATGGCATGAAATGTTGCAGATTTGGTCTTAATACTTATTTTAAAAAAGCCTTTTTCCTTTAAGAAAGTATTTGGGTTAGCAAAGCCTTTTTCTGCATTTTCTTCCTGGGACCCATAATACGTTTTTGATTTTTTACTTCCTTCTCGAGGCTGAGGTCTGGCATGTCTGAACAGGTCAGTGTTCTGCTTCTGCCCACAGAGAACCAGAAAAACATCTAACGCTCCCAGTGCCGCTGCTAGCAGCTGTGCATAAAGCTTCATCTTTGCAGATGAAGTGGTTGCAGACTGGTCTCCAACCACTGAAGACCAGTGGTTGGAGAAATTTATTTTGCATCAAGAAAATATGGAAATAAGGGAATCTTTCAGACAAAGTGCAATACTGTAAGCTGAACTTGGAGGGGAGAGGAGCAGTCATCACCTGTGGGAAGAGAGGCTTTGGTTTTTGCAACTGACTTAAAATGAAACTGAAACAGAAAAGTCAAATCTTTTCTAGGAGTCAAAAAATATCCGTTTGGTGACTCATTACAACTGAAGGAAATAGGTGCAGAGGGAGTGTATAAACTGAGGGTTAGATGGCACGTTATCTTCTGGCATAACATCAGAAACAACACAGACATGATTTAGTTCTTCTGACTTTTGAATCCGGAGGTATAATACAATAAAAACACAACTGCCTCATGCATTTCCAGTAACAGGGAGTTTACGGTAATGCTGGTTATTAAACACACATTAAATCCACAGGAAGGCTGTGGGATGGATCGATCCCCGTCCCAAACAGTCGGCTCAGCCCCGTCTTTACGAGGCTGGGAGCCGTTGAGGCATTCTGCCAGAAACATGCACAGATTTCATCTCTTCTTCACTGGGTCTGATGTTCTGGAGCCACTAAGTTCTAGTTTTTATGTTTAATATAGGAAGCATAAAACATTACTGGAACTACAGAGGCTACGTGTGACTGAGACAGCAGTGCAAAGTGAGAATGGTTAACTAAAAATACAAGAAAGATCAAACGTCATTATCATGTTTATATCGCCTAGTAACTAAATGAGCAATAGAGGACTTGCAGACCACCCAACTTTTTAAAAACAAGGAACCTGAGAGTTTGTTTTTACTACTGAAGGTTCTCAGTTTTCAGCAGTTCACTCCATGTAAAAAGAGGCTCCAGCTGATTGTTGAACCCTGGATTCAGGAGAAGATATGGCTCTCAAAAGAAAAAGGTGCATTGCTCCACCTGCCACAAGACTCTAGTGAAGGACCTCGAGTATCTCAGTGAGTCATTTAGAAGGAAAGAACAAGAGACGGATAAATTGATAAAGATGTCATTTGTAATCCAGGTGCTGTTAGACTGAAATAATGAGATTTCAGATACAAGCAGGACACCGTCACATCTGGTTTCCAATTGTAATAGAGGCAATTAAAACTTATAACAGAAATGAGATGTAAAGATGCTGGCATGATGTGATTAGGACTGGAAAAGGATCTTATTTAGATTACAATAGTTGATAAATACTGTTTATGAGTCGCAATTCAGTGAGGCTAAGGCGGCTCTATCAATGTGCGACTGTAAACAGGATGACTCTGCAATTTAATTTGAGGTAAAAATAAGCCACCATAAACAATCTGCACAGACTTAATGTTGAGTCTAACTCCTTAACTTTCCAAAAGTTAAGGAAGTTGGGAGGGACTTCCTCAGTTTTCCAAGTTTCAGGTCCTGCTTTACTGACTGAATGTAAAAAAAAAAGACAACAGGAAAAAACTGTTTCTGTTTACCGTGTGAATAGAAGAAGCAAGTTTCTCAATGAATGGAGTGAGATTCTCTGCAGCTTTCAGCCCATCCTGAAAAAAACTGAAATCAGAAAGTCATGACTGGTATCCGACTCTGAATACCTCGGTTTCCGGCAAACAAGCATGACATGCTGCGGCTGCAAAAGTAGTTCAGTATGCAAGTAAAAACATTTCTAAGAATTAAATAAAATGATGGTCTACAGTTAAAATGGTGGAGCTGATAACTGTTGACAGACTAACCTGAGCTGGGCCTGGAAATATTTGATAAGGCTTTGGAGAAGATCGGGTCCCTGACGCACCTTCAGCTCTTGGATCTTCAACAGATACTAAAAACATAAAAACACATTTGGTTTAAAACTGCTTCATAAAACTGAGCTGCAGAGCATTTTGACAAAATACTTTACAAGCAACTTTGCTCTTGTTGTTAGTGCTGCATTCTTTCCGATATATCTTTATGCCTCTTCAAAGGTTACATTTTACAACACTTTAGTAGGTCATTGGATTCGAAAGGCTTCAGAGAAACAGAAAGCTGCGAGTAGAAGAACTGCACTGTGAGCGTCATTAAACAGCATAAGAAACCATCTGTCTTCCTGTAGTTGACGCAACTCAGTGACCTGTTTTCTGTTATGTTTATACTCATGCCTGTTTCTTTGAGTTTTCCTGGATGTGTGTATGAACAGGGAGGGAGGGAGGAGGAAAGGCTGAAATGGAAATTCCTTTCCCCTGCCTCTTCCATTGGTGTTCAGCTGGTCGACGTCAAAATTACAGACCTCCAAATTTTCCCGAGCTACTTCTACATGAGCTACATTCTCATCTGAAGCAAACACCTTCAGTAAAATTTCCCTCGTTTTGGGCAGTGGCATATGTCTGATTACATGTTGGTAATCAGACATATGATCAGACAATCAGACTTTTAGCATAATAGGAAGGCTAAACGCAAGACAGCAAAGTCTCTCCTTTTAACCTTTCCAAACTTCTAAGGTCTGCCTGTCACGAAACATCTAAAAGTTGGAAATATTTTTAGTCTTTCCAAAAGTCTGATGGTTAAGATGAATCTCAACATTCTCCAGGGAATACACAGGGAGACTGTACTTCAGCAACGCTAAGGATGCTAAATGCTAATATGAGAAGCTAAAAACAGCATAAAATGGTTCTGTTGTAGTTGTTTCAAACAACTTTGTCGTTGTTTACAACGACAAAGTTGTAAGTAATTAATGATCAACAGACAATGAATACTGTTTATTATTATCCTTTTAGAGGAAGTGGAATGGGTTCAAACAGGTGTTAGCAGGTCAAAGGTTACGGAAAAGTCAAATATTAGATAGTGGTCACAAAATCCTGATTGGTGGAACTTTTACACCGACACAAAGTTAAAAACCCTGGAATGAATGAATGAATGAATGAATATGAACATCACCAGCATGAAGCAGCTGCTTTAGCTTCCCACAGCTTTGGTACCATATGCTGCTTATTACCAACTGCTATCAGCAATTCAATACGGTAGTTATTGCAATAAATATCAGCAACAAAAATTAATCATCAAAAATCCCAAGACTTCTGAAGCAATTGCTTTTTCACAATGACCCTGCTTCTTTTATCAGCAAATTGTACTGCAGTGTTATTGCTTGCTTCTAAACAGAAAGAATGAGTAGATATTGAGATTTAACTATTATGTTTTGCTTTCTGTTCTGCTCTGCTGTTTAATGAATTGTTCTTTGCAGTAGGAGGCCAACTGTTTCCTACGATGAGGCTCTAAGAGCTGGGAGAAAACCAGCAGGATGTCAGACAGGAAACACCAGCCAGTTTGTTAATAGCATTGTATTAGCAAAGTATTCACATCTCCAACCTTTTCACATTTTGTTGCTTTGCAGCCACAAACCTGAATTGTTGGGGTTTCATCTGATGGGCCAACACAAAGAATCACATAACTGTGAGAGGAAAATGTCAATGCCAGATGGAAAATACAACGCACAAGGCGGACCACCAGCGTAAAAATAAATAAAAGCCACCACAGGTAAGCAAGAGTCTAGGTTTTAATGTTTGAACTGGCCCTGATCCCTGCCTTCTCTCACCTCACACATCTGCAGCTGGAAAATCCTCCTCTCCCTCTCCATGTCCTCCCCTCCATCTGATCCGTCTCTCCTGATCACCCCCAGCTGCCGCGTCTTCTCCCTTCTTTCCTTCTCCAGCTTCCCTCTAAAAAAGGGAAGAAGAAAGCAGAATTTGAGGCAACAGAAATAGAGGATCGTTCTTAATCATTTACCACCGTCACATGTTTAAAAGTCTGTTTTCCGAAGAGACATTGTTGTGTCATCGTGTGAAAGAATGATTCTTTTTAACTAACTCATCTGAAAAGATGAAGGAAAGTCAGAAAAGGTAAAGCATGGTTATATCAGTAGAAAATTTTTTGACAGCACAGATGCTGCATGCTTTAAGGTGTCTGGGCTTCATCTCACTGCAGAGTAATGGGAAATAACCAAATGTACAACATATTGTTCTGTGCTTTCAAATGTGCTTTATAGTCACTGAACTTTGCCACATTTGCTCCAGTTAAACCCACAACTTCAATATTTCACTGGGATTTTATATGACTGAGGACAGAGTAGTGAAAATGGAAAAAGTGGTGCGTGGTTTTTAATATATTGCACATAAAAATCCAAGAGCTGTGGAGTGGATTTGTGTTCAGACTGTTTAAAACTTCAGGTTTTCCAGAAGCGTTGCAGACCCAGAACTGAAATGTTTCCTTGTTTGCAAAATAGCTCAAATTTCCCCAGATAAGATGTACAGCTTCTGTGAGCATCAATCGTTGATTGGATTTAGGTCTGGACTTTAACTAGCCCATTCTAACACTTGAACATTGCTTGATCTAAATATGTGGCTGTATGTTTGTGTTTCTATCCTGCTGGTAGATCAAGCTTTCTGTTCTGCTCTGCTATTTAATTAATTGTTAGGGTTAGGGTTAGGTAGGGTTTTCACTAGATGTGGCTCTATTCATATTCTGTTCAACTTTGATGAGTTCCTCTGTCCCTAGAGAAGAAAAGCATCCCCAAAGCAAAATGCTGCCTCCTCTGGCGGGGATATGTTCAATGAATTTAGGCCCAAAGGCTTAAACTCTTAACTCCTCTGACTGGAGCATCTGATAGGTGTCCAGTCAACAGATTCTCTCACCTGAGCTTTGAATGTGTGCAGCTCCTCCAAATGTTGTCATTTTTACAACATTTTGAAGTCAATCTGTTACACTATCATTCTTTTAGTATATGAGATTAAAGAAACCTTTATAATAAAATATGCATTTCTTTTCTGTGTAGCCCAGCAGGTCATTGTGATAGATCACAGCTTGAAAAAATGTCCCTTTCATTCAAACAGCTTTTTCTCAGAGTGAATATCAAGAATGTTGCAGCATGAGCAAAGAGATGAGTGTAATTACAATTTTATGTCATAATCCTTCCAACTCTTCTCCATGTGTTTCTTGAGCTCCTGTAAGAGAGGAGAATGGTTTCAGAAAAGAGACGTAATTCCTTCGGTTGCGTCAACCTGCACGCCGTCTCGCTGAGCAGGATTTCTGTGGCAATTTGCCATCCGCCACGGTGACGGAGAAACAAAGTCCAGTCATGGAGTCAGCTGTTCATAGACAGGGCAGGGACCAGAGCTTACCTAAGCATTCATCTGCATTACTCACTGGCTTGTTGGCACGGTGAATCAGGAGGACTAAAATACTGAGCAAGAAAAGCAACACTGAGGCAGAGCCAGGCTTTACTCAAGCTTACATAATCTGGACAAAATAGGATAGCATTTATTGTCCCTAAGAAGGAACGTTATATATTAATAACCTCATAAATTATCACCCATAGTGGGTAACATATGTATGTATGAATTGCTGTTTTTGTCCATTATTTTATTTCCTGTAAAGATTGTACAGTTATAGCTTAACGTCTGTATAATTTGTGCAAATGAACCTAAGTAAAATGTTTTGTTTGTGCACAAAATCGTAGCCAATAAAGCTCATTCTGATTTTATTATCCGTCATAAAATTATGCTTTTTCTTAATATCATTTCATGCACCATTTTCTTAAAAATAATTTTACCCTTAAAGCACCGATTTAAAATTTTTGGTAGAGTCCAAAGATGCAAACCAGGGCTGAAATGATTAGTCGAATTAATTATGATTAATCAATTTTGAAGTAATTTAGTAATCATTTGATCAACAACGGACTCAGATACATGCCTACAGAAAACAACATACTCAGAGTAGTAATTAAGCCTAACTGTCCAAGAATATATGTTTTGAATTCAAGACAGAAAAACCTGAGTCTGTAAATATGTTTTACCCGAAACTCCTGAAAAGTTTTAGCTTCAACTGGTTAAAATTATGCAAAAATAAATAATCTCATCTTTTGCCTTTTGCAGTTTTTGCTGTCCAATTAATGAGTTAATCCAAGAAAAATAATCATCATATCAACCCTTCACTGTATTGATGTTAAGTCAAGCAGAAAGTTCTGAGCTTTTCTCATATTGATTATAGAAGTGTTTTTTGTCTTTACTGCAAATGATCCACAAAAAATATTTCAAAACGAGTTCAGTTATTTTGTTTCCAAAGAGCTGCATCTTGTCACTCACTGAATATTTAACTATAGAGAATAAAAACAAGAATATTACTGTCTTTGTGCAAAACACAAAAGATGAGAAGAGCACACTGCAGCCAAATCAGTAAGATATCACTTACAAATTTATTATTTCTGGAAAAAGTGAAACTGATTCTTTTAGATTTAAATTGTGCATTTGCAATCATTTTAATAAAAAGGCCTCATGCTGTAGACTGAAATGATTACTTTGGATAGCATAAAAATACTTTTCAAAGAGCTACAGTAACTATAATAAATCCATTGATAAAGCTGCCGAGGTTACAATTAATTTAAAGCTGCAATATTAGAATCTCTTCATGTCTGCTAATGCCATTTAAAAACTATAAAGGTTGTTTTTGCTGAAGTGTTATTTGTCATGTGTTCATACTCACTAATCTGCTGTCCCGGAGTTCAGACTTCAGCACATTTTCCAGAGGAAACGCCATGATGTTGTTGAGGTTTTGGACCTAAAAGATTAAATCAAACAGCAAATGACTAAAGAGAGTTTAAGTTTCCTTTACAACATCACACATGGCACCAATCAAAGGAAACATGGATCAACGCATACACACACACACTCCCTTATACATGCTCAAAACATTCACTCAGTATATTTACTATATTTCCCAATAGGCCTGCATTTCTGGGAACGAGAAAATGAGGCGCACTCATTTCGAACTGGTGAGTCACCCAATGAACGACGCGAGGCTCCTTGTGATGCAACTGCGATGGTAGGGGTTTGGTAACGGTAAAGAGTGGGTTGTAATTAAATTCAGATTTGGGAGGTCACAATATTTTGGAGATGAATTGAGGAGGAATGAATCACAAAGCAACAAGCAGGTTACCAAACAGTCACAAACTACAGAAACAAAAATCAATCTACAAGAAATTTCTAAACCTTTTCCATGGTTCATGTGAACAACTAACTAAAAAACAATCAAATCTGCTTAATGGAAAGATTTAAAAAAAAAATAGATGAGGGCTCAAGAACCGTCATGTAAATGTAACTTAAATTCTTTCATTCACTTTTAATTTCTACAATCTTCTGAGATTCAGACCAAACATCATAAATAGTGAATCTGGTTCACCTGATTTTCTTAGAAAATGTTCATTTGCATCTTTAAGCTAAAATCATAATGTAATGCAAAGTTAAAGAGGAGCCAAAGATTCTGGTTGATACGGTTACATAATATCAACAAATAAAAAAGAAACCTCCTGTATTTTCTGTATGTCTGGATAAGTTGTAGTATAGATATCAGAGTCTTGTCTTCCAAAGATTATTGAGGAATATGTAAAATTTCCCCAAACTTTGCTGAATTAGGTCTGAGGAAACCAAGTAGAATCTTTTGGTAAACTTTTGGAAAAGGACATTTCGCCACAAATGATTAAAATCTGGGCTTGCGTTTTGGGGAGAACGTGAATGAAATTCACAAGAGTCCCAAACGTTCAGAGTTCTGCAAGAAGGCTTAAGATGTGGAATGCAACATCGCAGTAGATCTAAAAACCAAAAAGTGGTTCCACTTTACATCCAACTCATTTTTGCAAGTTATAGTAAAGTCAGAATGAGGTAGGCTCAAAACATTTACCCAAGAAGTCTAAATCCTGTCATTGTAGTTTTTATATTAATTTATATTATAGTGAATCAAATTGTTTTTTGGCCCACAGCATAGCTACACATCCACAACCTCCATTGACCATCCTCAGGCTTCTTGTGTTGCTTTTCTGGTGAACTGATCTTCCTTAAGACAGATAATGTCCAGTCACTTCCGTGAGTTGACTCCACGGCTAACCTTGCTGTTGACACAGCGGCCTGGACTCCAGAAGGAAAGCGTTGGGTGGTTTCCAGAAGCTGAGGCAAGCAAGTTCATAAGTTAATCTGACACAGGAAAACACTGTGAAGATGTGACAGAAGATCAATGTTTGCCTTAAATCACTCATTTTAATCATTCAGATCCACTTTTAACATCTGTTAGGCATCGTCTTCACCGAGAGGCCCTGACTGACACAATTTGGGGAGGGGGTTTGGTGAATGTGTGCTGGTTCTGACTCACGCCTCACCCATTGAGGCCTGGGATAAATTATCAACACTACAGAGACAGAGAGAGATCAGTGGGAGGGTTCTGGACAGTCCCAGGCAAAAGGTGCAGCTAATAAAAATCCCTTTCTTCACACACCGTTTGTGTTCAGGTTACACCATTCTTTTCATCTTTGTTTTGTCTATTGTCTGTAGTTCAAGTTCCCATTTGCACTTTCTTCCACTCACCAGATTTTTGAAGAGGGACGTGACCTCTCTGGTGAAAACGGCCAAGTTCAGGAAGCCTGTGGAGATTTCGTTGTTGTCCTGACTCAGATGGCTGTTCCCCAAGTTCTCCATCACCTCAATGTACTGCTCTTTGTTTTCCACGTGTGCTAAAAAAAAAAAAAGACAGACACGCAGAGCATGAAGATTGATCCAGACAAAGGAAAACAAATTACTCAAACTTGCACTACAAGTTGAGAAAACCTGATGGTGGCAGACAGTTTGACAAACATGTGGTACAGATTAGAGCAGCAGACACACAAAGATCCATGTTTCTGTGGTTTGCATGGCTCTAAGGTCATGACCTTGGGCAGATTAAAGACTTGAATCTTCATGAGCATAAATTGGTTTGTCATTGGCAAATGTTTGTTTACAATTACGTGAGACATTTATGATGCTGTCAGCAAAATTATCCTCATCATCTCTTTTGTCCAATGTGAAAAAAAACAAATGTTACATTTTACCAATTTGATATTTTGTTAGAGAGGCCTAAAAAGCAACACACCTGCAGCTCCATGTTTTAATATAACGGTATGTTATTTCTTAGCGGCCTTTATGTGCTCATACTTTATATCTAAAATTTCCCAGTGCTAAAATAACTTAATGAAAAACAACATAAATACCAGTTTGGCTCATACTGTCTCTTCAAATGTTTCATCTTAAAGAAAGGTTTAATTGCAAACAAAGAAAGTAATTGTTAATTAAAAAATAAATAATAATAATTCTGTTCTTAGTGGAGAAGCTTCTGGGTTTTGCAGCAGTAATTAACTACGAGGGCTCAAAACAGACAAGAAAAAGCTTTTTACTTGAGTTTTATAAATCTGGTAGGGAGGAAGCATCTTTAACCTGAACCATGAAGGGGAGTTTTTAAGTGGGAGGATTTCTAATTCTTACTAACTGACTGACTTCAGATATTCCCAGTTCAAACTGTGATTCCAACTGTGAGACATGGAACATTTTCCACTTGCATTGCACATGTGTATATTTGAAAATTCACAGCAGATTTTTGAGTTAAATCACTTTTAGGGCTAAAAGAGAGAAGAAAGATATGCTATTTTCAGGACTAAATCCCATTGTTTTACCTACAAACATCATGAAACAGTGTTAAAAATCACTTCAGAATGAATAAATAAAATGATTCGCTAATGTGACATAAAAATAACATTTCCAGGCCTAACGGTGCAGAACACTGTACATTTCCCCTCATTGATCTAAAGTAAATATGAACCATTTACAATGGGAGCGAATCCGAAATGTCCCACATAAGTTAAAGAAAACAACTGAGGTTAATGTATCACAAAACCTCCTTCATTTTCTGGAGGTTGGAACAACCTAACCTCCTCCCAATGTTCCAGTTTCCTGCGATGAAATTTCAACAGGATGTTAAAGACTAATTTTAAAGGTTTCATGGAGGTTCTAAACTACACACTTCTCTCTCGTTTCCTGTCCTCAGAAAGCAAGAACACAAAGCTCTGCATCAGCTAAATGTATTCAAAGTTTGTTAAATGTTTTCATGAAGTTCGTTCTCCATAAAACCATCATTTATAGTTTTACTGCTGAAAATAAAGGCTTTTTATTTTTGAAACAGGAGTATGTTTCCATTCTCCGTCACACTGAGCGAAGGGGACATGACGTTCTCTCTGTCAGCTGACGTAATTTCAATAAACAGAGTGTGAAAACCGACAAAAAAACCCCTAGCTAGGGCAAAATAGGCTTTCACCTCAGTTATTCTAACTATCCCCAAAAGAGAAAGGATGTCAACAGGGAATTATAAAACAGGTAAATCAGGGCAAACATAAATGCCAAGAAACTTTGATTTTATAAATAAATTTATGAAACTCACAAAGCAAACAGCTGAATCACCAAAAGGCCTGAGGGTGATTTTTCAGCCGACCTTTAAAAGTTAAATACCGCCAGAGAAACTCGACACTCACTGGTCTGCAAGAACACACACAGAGTCACAAACCGCAGCAATGTGGAAGAAAATGTGTACTTAGAGTTAATGTGAATGAAACGAAGGCGTACCACACAATGTTATTGCATTTGTGACAAGGTAAGGGGTCATCTGACCTGCACATGGGGGAGGGGAGGCTGCACAGCATAACCCATTTATGTAGATGTACTAAATCGTACAATCATCACATTACCGGAACTCCTCCATTTGAATTTACTTAGATAAACAGGAAGAAGATGGAAGTAATGATGGACTTCTACTCTGCACATACGGGAAAGACGCTGACTGTATCGGGTTGCCTAATTCAGTGCAGCTGCCTGGTTCTGGCAAAAAAAAAAAACGTTGGATGACTGAAATAGGAAGCAGGATGTTAACCAGAGAAAACGGTTTTCTGAATGCGTTACTCAGTTGTTTTGAACATTTTTGAGAAAGTGCTCACATCTGACATATTTCTGCTGAATTACGCTGCCAACAGTCTGCATGTCACACTCTCAGTAGGAGAGCAACCTGGGCTGCTGGACTTCAAGGTCACTGAACTGAGCAGCGGATTGTTGCCAAAGCTTCACGTGCCATTTACTTTCACACAGACACTTCCAAACCACACTCCCTCTTTTTAATATAAAAACAATTACAATCATCGTAATGCACACAACACATCCTCAAATGGCATAGTAAGATAAAATATTCCCAAAGCACTAAGGTGTTTATTTTGCAATAATAGAGGCTGACATTTATCCCAAAACAAGCTACTAGGTAGGGATGCTTAACTTGTTTTGGAAAGAGTACCGTAGGCAAGCAGTGCTTTAGTGCTCTTAGGTCTAAACATGCAAATGAGAACCTTTAATTTTGGCAAATGGTGCCAAATTATGTTATTTCACAACATCTTCTTCCTCAATACCAAGGGTGTGTTATAAAAAGACTGAAACTTCTTACAATACTATTTTAGATTTTGTTTCAAACTTGTCTGCTGCTAGTATTCACACTTGTGAAGTCACACGTTGCCAAAGGTGCTGAGAGGTTATTTTTTCCAACCCCAAGTCAACTTTCAAGACTTGAAGGGAAACTCCAAGACAAATATCAACTCTGTCAGGGGCGAGAGAAGTCAATAACATATCAAACAATGTCCAAACTGAGTTACACTTTTTTGAGGGTTTGTCAAGTCTACAATCCTTGAGATGGAAGTTAAAATCCTCTTTCAAGAATAAGTCAAGTCCCAGCACTTTGAGGGACAAATCAAAGTCAAGTCGTATGTCTTTGGTACAGGTACAAAATGGGCTGCGTATCTTTCAGGGACGAGTTTTGAGGACCAAGTCTAAGACAAGAATCAACTCTTTGATGTCAAAAAAAAAAAGTCAAACTTGATCCCCAAGTTTTTGGAGTGCAAGAGGAAAAGCCAAAGAAATCACATATTTGAGCGTCAACTACAATTAGGTTAAGATTAAGTGAATCATAAACATCATTGCTAAGTGTTATTGCCCAAAGATAGCTATTTTAAGATTTCCATGATGTGATTCTTTACTGCTGTTTGTGTAAAATTGATGCTCGGTTGCTCCACCCTATCATTGCCACAAAGAGCGGCTGCAACCAGGGTACCCCTCCTCCACCGCCCCCCTCCATGCTGATTTATATACTCTTAAGGTGCTTACAGAGTCCAGACGTGTGAATAGATTTAATCGTCTTCTTCATCCTCTGCAGAGTCGAGTTGTCCATCTCCAGACACTGCAACACACACAGAAATAACATTTACACTCACAGAAATCAAACAACTGACTAATCTACATATTACCAGAGAGACATTTGAGAAACCGTGTCTGCCTAAACTTCTCACAGTGTGTGACTAAGGCAGACAGGTTTTATCCAGACAACTGTCTTGGCTTGCCATTCACAGCCCCAGATGATGCAAGTGCAGTTGTGTCACTTGCAGCGTTTCAGGTTTAGGCTGTGCTTGGACGCAGACCAGAGGCAGGTTCCTACCTGGCTCCACTTTGAATGAGCAGTAAACCTTGTTCAAACCATGAGGATTGAACCTGTTTATTTAGTTTATTCTCCTCACACAGGCCACTTGTTGCAGTAAGCTAGTGTTGAGACTCCACCCAAGAGGCACCACAAATAGCTCAAAGGAGACAGTAATTTCTATTTGACTGAGAACATGTCTTGTTCCATGTTGTTGTTGTTCCCCCAGCCCTGCCCTTCATCGTTAAGAACTCTCCTTGTCCTTGTGTGTTGATTTATTCATAAAAAGCGCAAATGTTGGGTGCATTTATGGAAAGCTCCAGTTGGAGAATGGAAAATGGTTTAGTGAAAGCTGCTGCCTCATTTGAGCTCACTTTGCTTCATAAACTGGACACAAAGAAACTGCATTTTCTTTCATCAAAAGGTGAATCTGTTCAATTCACATGGCAGCAACTGATCACATTTACCTCCAGTCACGGTAAAGATGACATACTGAAGTTCAAACCAACGTCAAAACAGAGAAGACAGGAACTTAAGTGAGACTAAACATGACATAGGTGTTTGTGCCAGACTAGCATTTCAAAGGCTGTTGATTTGCATGGATTTCAAAAAACCATTTCTCTGGAGAATGGTCTGGACAAATAGAAAATACTCAAGGAATAGAGTTTGGCGGATTACAAATGTCTTGCTGCTGTGAGATAAGAAGAGCAGACTGGTTTAAGATAAAAAAGACTCAGATAAACAACTTCTCACTACAACCAAGGTTTGAAGACTATTTATCTAGAACACATGCGAGGACAACATCTTGAAGAAGACCTGCTACAGCAGCAGACGGCCATGCTTTTTGTCGTTTCTGTCAGTTAAGAACAGGAAACTGAGGGAACAATTCACGCAGACTTATCAAACAATGACAAAAGGAGGAAAAATGTCTCCAGGCAAAAATAGTCAGTTTTTCCGTCGTCGCTCAGACGCACCATAAAAACACGGATCCATCTTGTTCTATATCAGCTTTTAAGACTGGTGGTGGATGTGCAAAGGTTTGGAGATATTTTTTGACAAACTTCATAGATTTAAGGCTGTGCTGAAATCCTTAACCGTTATCTGACTTTATTAAAACTAAGAAAAGTGCATCAAAATTGTGGGAGATTTTAGTTTTATTAAAGTCAATGACCTGCAAATGCTTTATATATTTCAATCTATGAGTTAGTCAAGGGAAATTCTGTCAATTCCAGACTGTTTGCACAACTGGTGCATCTCTGCTTTCCCTCCATGCATCAGAAAAGTCAAGGTGACCAGAAATCCAGGCTTTTCTGCAACAGATAAGGAGCTCAGGGCGTCTGATGTGATTAAACTTTAAAAGCTACAAAGTCTGCCTGAGAGCGACTCTGCATGTAGCTGACATGTGATCCTCTACTTCCTACATTACTTACAGAACTCTATGCCAGAAGTTTAATCCCAAGAGAAACTTTTCAATCTCTTTATATCCCTTTATGGGACAAAAAAATATTTTCATTTTTTGCTATGATCTCTCTTAGTCTTTGCATCTAATCAGGACAGATAAGTAGCAGCCAGATCGTGTGTGTGTGTGTGTGTGTGTGTGTGTGTGTGTGGGGGGGGGGGGGGGGGGGGGGGTGTGTGTGTGTGTGTGGTTGGGAGGGTTAAATAGCATCTGTGCCCTAAACCACAAACATGCCCACACATTCATCCTCGTCATTAATCAAGCTTCTGCTTCTTGGGCAGACTAAACATAATTTCCATATCCAGTTATAAAAAGTGTGTTTCCCTTACATCTGTGCGTCTGTGTGCACACATGTAGGATTCCAGCATGACTCTCCCCACTGAGCTATTTCTGTTATGTATTTTCCAATAGATCATGTCCATAAAGTAAGAAACCAAAACCCAGCATAATGTATCAGACAGCAGCAAAAAGCTGAATTCTCCAGTCCAGCTTTGCTTCATTGTTATGGTTCTAGACTAAAGAACTCCTCAAGAAAACCTTAAAAATGTGTTCAGTCTTATTAGGATATCTGCACTGCATGCATTATTTTAGGGAGTTTTGCTTGACATGAATCACTTTTCAACAAAAATTTGAAATCCTCTTTTTACAAAACAAAACAATCTGGATGACTCTCGTTGATGAGATCCCTAATGATCTGTAATGTTTTGTCACAAGATGAGAAAGGATGGGCTTGTGTGTGTTTGTGCACACTTGAATTATTTGCTTTCTGGCAGGGTTCATGGCAAATTCTCTCTCCGTTTCCTCCTTTGCCTGAGGATTTTTGGGAGGAGACATTTCAAATAAACAGAATTTCACACAGAGGCCTCAAACAAGCCTGAGGCAAGTCCTGCAGTGCAAACAACCCCAAAAAATAACGAACTAAATAAACAAAAACAAAATAAACAAAGAAAAAACAAAAACTGGCCTTCACCACCATGCTTCCCAACTAGGACAAACACAGCCGTGCATGATTAAAGCCACAGGCACAGCACTCTGTCAACAGGTGACACTTTTTGTGACATGTGGCCAGTGTTTGTCTCATTCCTGCTCGATTGAGGACGTCCAGTTCATTCCTGAAAGGCAACATTAGTTTATGTAACTTTTACTGTCCTGATGATGCAAGTCAGTCTACACTGACTGCTACAGAGAAACAACATTCAGCCCATTTTTTCCTCAACAATGTAAGAGTTGAGGAAGAGCAGAAAAACAGGCAGAGGCAATAACAAACCAACAGCATGGCCTGGTTTCTGTCATTACAACAATAGCAAGGTTTTTAAAAGTTAGCATTTGAAAATAAGATTCATACGGTTTATGAAATGTATAACTTTTTAAATCAAATTTGTATTTTTAGAGTCTGATTTCTCCATTTTTGGGGGATTTTTTTGACAACTTTTCAGCACACAAAAGTGAAAAAATAATAGACAGTAGTTTTAAAACTAACATAAATTGAGGATTTACATGTTTATCCCCATTTAGCCATCAAAGTATACAGCTTTGTCTAAGATTTATTGCATTTAAAACAGTGCATCAACATGTTTAGAGGCAAAATGATGAGTCTTTGATTCATCCAGTAATTAAAGTATAATAAAGTAAAATATTCTGATTGTAGTGTAAGGCAGAGTTTCCCACCCTGCGCACTGCCCATGTTTTAGATGTTTCCCTGCTTTATTACGAGTGATTCAGCTGAATGCAGTTCAGCAAACACCTGTCAACTGAAATCACCTGGGCTGAAGCAAGGAGACACCTAAAACATGCAGCAGGCCAGTGAGCATTGAGGACCAGGGCTGGGGAAACACTGGTCTAAAATGTATTGCTGCCCTTCCCCCACATGTTTCTGCACACTTTGAATCAAGAAAGCTCCCCCACCTTTTCTCTTCTTCCTAGAAAGACAAACTCAGCTGCTGGGAAATCTTTACAGTGACAAAAACAAGAACTGACTTGAAAATTAAAGAAGTGCTCAGAAGTAACCTCAACCTTCTACAAAAAGTAAAGTGGAAATTAACATGTCTACTAAGCAGCTGATAATGTAGCTTGACTAATTATTATTAATTATATCATGTTAAACGGGTATCTGAACTATTATTCAGCAAACAGATTTTCATGTAACCCCTCAAACGTCCATTTCATGTTTTGATGACAGAACACATGACATCGTTTCCACTGATGTCAGATAGCCTAAAGGTGTATTAACCTAATTTTTTCTGATAGAAAACTAATTTATGTTGATTTTCATGTTTTTTCTTCACATTTCAAAGTTAAACAAAAAGATAAACACATTAGGCAGTACTTTACAAATAAATACTGGAGTCATGTATGTTATTGGCAAGGTAAAAAAAAACCCAATATGTTACAGTAAAATCTGGGGAACTCTTTTTTTATCTTACATTTTACTTTCAGTTGTTCTTCTGCATAGCAGAAGATATCTCTAGGCTGTACAGTGGAATTGTGGGCAGCATGGTTACCTTGCAGCAAGAAGGTCCTGGGTTCAAATCCCCACCTGAGGTCTTCCTACATGGACCTTTTGTGTTCTCCCAATGCATGCACAGGTTCTCTCTGGGCACTCCAGCTGTTTGCCTCTGTCCAAAAACATTTCTGTGAATTGCCCCAACTAACTGCCCTGAGGTATGTGTGTGTGTGTGTGTGTGTGTGTGTGTGTGTGTGTGTGTGTGTGTGTGTGTGTGTGTGTGTGTGTGTGTGTGTGTGTGTGTGTGTGTGTGTGTGTGTGCATGGTTGTCTGCAGGATGTTGCCCTGTGATGGACTTGTGACCTTTTGGGGGTATCTCCCGCCTCTCACCCTCCAACTCTTGGTGATAAGCACCACCCCCCACCTCCAGACTCTGCCAGGATAAACGAGTATAGACAATAGAGGGATGGAAGGATAACATCTATAAAGAATGGAGTTATTACCAAATAACTTCTGACTGGCTCCAGGTCTCAGCAGCCTCTACCTCAACAGTAAAATGTTTTAAAGTTGTTCCATTCAGTATTGCTATAACATTTGTCTGTAAACCTACAGAAGAGGTAAAATTAAGATGTGGTTGACTTTATTTCCAAATGAGACTCCTTTACTTTGCTTGTTTAAAATTTACAATAACAATCAGCAAAAAATATATAGGTAGCAGTAAATGTCTGGGATGGATTCAAAAAAGGGAGAGTAAAAAGGTATAGGTTTCAAATGCATTCATTATTTTTTCTTTTTTTAATTAATTTTCTTTATCAGTTATTGTTTTTTGTCACATTCAGAATTTATTTAATGCAATTTTTATTTGCTGTGACATTTAATGTAATTATGTTTTCTACATTCTGTGTTTATCAATTTTTTTGTTTACTGTAACTTATTTTAATCAAACATTGATTTTTTTTTTATTTATCCTGTTATGATTGTGTCATTTTCATCATGTGAATTGAGGGGGGAAAAGCAATAATGGCTTCAACAATCATCCAAAAAGAAAAAAAATCAACATGTAATGGAGATCGGTTATACTCATGTCAAAGTAAAAAAAACTGTATCTCTAAGTGGCATTAAAATGACACAAACATTAAAAAATAAGTCTATAAAAGTTCCTCTCTATTCAAATTTAGTTTTCTCTTAAATTTATACAAATAAAAACATGATGCATTTAAGACTAATGGCCCCCTCCTGGTGACACCACTGCTTTACCTCTAGAATAGATCATTAACTGATTTGTTTATGGAAGATGAAACCGATCAGAAACCTGAAGTGGGTATGGATCTAGAAGGCGTTTCACAGGTGAGTGTGTTCGGCCCATTAGCTGCAGCGGAACCGCTAAGAAAGCGGAGCAGGTAAACAGACAACAGGGAGGTGAACCGCCTCCCACAGCACCATTGTTCCTACCTCTTCCACGGCTGACACGGTGTTCTTGCAGTCGCTCATCTTGGACTGGAAGCTGGAAGTCCCGGGCGAAGACAAATCCTCGTTTGTCAACTCGACAAAATCTGAAATACTTATTCGCTCCGGCATGTTTCTAGAAAGACAGGGGCTCCGAAATTCACCGAGCGAAAGAGTGTGCCAAAGTTTTACGCGCGCATGTAATTCCCATTGGAAAAAGACGTGGAGTCTGTTTGCTTCGCTTGCGTTGAAATAGACAAGCTCGAAAAAAATGTAAAGTCCTTCAAAGAATCGGTTTCACACAGTAAAGTCACCTATAGGCAGAGCTGAGGTCGGACTGAACGTGCGCTCCACTTAGCAGATGTGAACGCCTTGGGCTCCTTCTGCGCGTTCCGGGAGGGAGGAGGGATCTCCGGGGAATCACGTGGGGAAACTTTCTGGCGCAGTGGAAGAAGCAAGGGTGTCCCTTTCATTAATACCTCTCATTTCTATGCAAACTCCTCAGAGCTTCAAGAGCGGTCGCCATGGATAAGCAGAAGCCCCTTTCACGATGTGAGCTGCAGGAATTTGCATAAATAAAGTGAAGGAATTAAAAACCCGGGGAATAAACATTGTTCATCAACACTGAGTTTCTCTTTTAATTTAAGCTCCATGAAACGCAAATTTGTTGCAAAAAACCTGGCTGTATGGAGGTTTGCATGCAGAGTTCTGGACATGCTTCTTATCTTGGCTAAGACTGAAGTTCCTTATTCATGCTCCACAAAAGAGACGCTTTTCATTGAAGCAGAGTTGCTAAAGTTCCTCCCTCCCTTGCTGCTCCTGCACTGACATTTCCTGAAATATTCAGAAAACAACCAGAGAATACAAAACTGGGAGAGAAGTTGAAAAAAAAAACTGCAAGAATATGTGATACAAATCCTGCATGCCTGAAGTTGTCAACCCTGTCTGCTCAAAGAAAGGAGGTGTATCAGTGATCATTGCCTCAGGGTGAGCAGAGATATCATATTTTAAAGTAGACATGATAGGAGGAAGCTGCATTATTTTTCTGTCGCCAACCGCAAAATCTGCTATAAGATATACAGAGACACAGTTCCAGCTGTGGGAAATAATATTCTTGTTTCTCTGTGTTCATCTATGTAAAAATAAATTTACTACCACATCCACAAACATTAATGTATTGTATCTTGCTTTATAAAAAAAAATCTTGTGACATTAAGGTAAAAATATACATGACTTTTACAATGTTTTGATGAATAGCAATCTGAAAAAGTGCAGGGTGCCAGACGGCATCTTTACTCTGAAACCCCAAAGTAAAACTCAACCATTTACCTTCAGACGACATCAGAGAAGTACCTGAGCGGCACGCTGTTACTCTGGAGGAGCTTATAAGATCAGTCGCTCAGGTGAGGGAATCAGTTGGCAGGACAGCCTTTAGTCACATGCTCTACAGAGCTACACTGAAGTTCATAGTTGGAATGAGCAAAAATGTGGAAAAAGTCATGAGATGTGAATACTTTTGTAAGCCTCTCATCTTGTGGCTAAACTATGTGGCCTTTCAGTGGATCTGCTGTTAGCACAAATGATTTCTTCACTAAATAACTGATACTAGACATAAAAATGTCTAGTATTTTATTCCCTGTGACGTTGCACAAACAAACATGCATTAGATATAAAACTGAAAGTGTCCAGAAACACTTTTCTCTGGAAGTGCTAAAATGTCCATCTGAGTGCAAACAACCAGCTGCCTCACTTCCCCCCAGCAGTTTTTTTTTTTGAGCAAACAGAGTAAAGTCTACAAAGTGAAAGCTGTAAAACTTCCTCTTTAACCTATTAATCATTATGCAAAAGCTCATTCAGTTATGGAAGTGAGGCCATGTCGTAAACAGCAGCATACGTAGATCTGGTGACCCACTTTTAACTCCTCATTTGTTTGCTGTGTGTGTGTTTGAATATTCATTTGGGAGAAGAGAAAGACAAATGGATGGGTTAGATCCGAGCACTTTGCACTGATGCATTTATCACCGCTGTGATGCGAGTGCTAAATATTTGTGTCGACATTTCCATTTATGCATGCACACATGCAGAGGCTCACAGCGTCCCAACAAAACGCTCCTTCATCTCCTTGGTGGCCTCATGTGAAGAAGCTATGTCTTTGTGTGTTTGCCAGATTTTCAGCCTGGAGCTCATTGTAAAGTTGTGCAAATTGCTCTGCTCAGGCTGTGAATGAAGTAAACCCATGGATTTAGAGGCAATAGAAGAAAGTGACAGGCTGTTGAGGGATTTTTTTTTTTTTTTTCAGGGACAAGAAGAGCTTAGCGCTGGGAAGGTGAACCACACGTGAAGAAAAGGTGGAGTGAGAGAATGAAAGAGTTGAAAACAAGCTGCGCTGGCTGTGGTCATAAACTGAAGTGACTCATTTAATGTTTTCCCTGCTTCTCTCCACCCTTTTCTTAATAACCCCATGCTTCACCTACATTGTCATTTCCCATGTCAACAAACTCTCCGCTAACACTACTTACAGTGACTTTACTCTTCCTTTCCATTTCCACCTAATAAATCACTAATATCTCTGTTAGGTATTCTTCACAACTTTTCTTTTTCTCTACAATACAAACATCTTTTAGTGAGGGACGGTTACAGGATTTCCGTGCTGCATGCTTCCCAGCAGCCCCGGGGCAGCAGCACTGGGTTCCACTCTCCAGCCCAGATTGTTTTGCTTGTTGCCTCAGCTCTACAAGTCCTGTTATCAATTTACAACCAATGTCAAGGAAAGGGGCCCAGGCTTACCGTAACACACCCCCTCACCCGGGCAGCGCAGATTACTGAAAACAGGAGGGAAGAAGGAGAAAAATGGGGAGAGGAAATTTATTGTTCAGCTGGAGTATTTCAGCTCGCTGCAAAAAAAAAAAAAAAAAAAAAAAAAGACTTTGTGGTGCTTTCAGCATAGCATGGGGTCTGATTCACAGATTCATGTTTTGCCTTGTTAAAATTTATTCCTCACTAAATAAATGAGGAGCCTCCCTTTAGTCTAGTGCCATCCATGCTCCAGGTGAAAATACCTGAATATAAAACTCCACCCGTGTCGACCAGACAGCGGCAAACAGAAATATTGTCTGCTACCTCACCTGGTATGGCAACTAAAACTTGTTGAAACTGGAAAAACTTGTTTTGTGATTCATATAAACCTTTTATGACACATACATTTTCACAACATAGTGACGAAGAATGGACATTTCATCAAAACACATTTTTTCCCTCCCAGTAAGCCACTGGTTACCTGCAAAGCTGAGCAAATTGTGGGGAAATGTCATTCATATAAAAGCAGACTATTATTACATAATAGGCTTTAACAATGAAAAGGGATCCCATATTTTCCAAGAAGGAACAGGTACAGCATGAAGAGGAGGGGCCTAAAACGGAGCCCTGTAGAACTCCTTAATCACACAAGAAATTAGTGATGAGGGTGATGGCAAAAGGCCTTCCAAACTCAAAAACTGCAGCCATGCTGAACCTCCTCCCAATAGGCATTGTTGTCTGTAATTAGTCCTACAATGGTTGTGTTGTCAGCTAATTTTATGATTGTGTAAGGAGAGCAGACAGTAGAAGAGAGGGCGGAGAACACACCCCTGTGGTGTTCCTGTGTTCAGAACGAGAGTGGAGGAAATGTACTTTCCCATCCTGACATTGTGAGGTTTGTTAAAGAGAAAGTCCAGTAGTCCAGTATCCAGGTGAACTGCTAAGGCACAAGTTGCTCAGTGTTTGAACGGTGTGTGTGTGTGTGTGTGTGGACGAAAACAGCATCCTCACACAAGTGTTGCTGTTTTCCAGGAGTGTGAGGGCAGAATTTCAGCCAGCCACAGGTACGTTCGCGTCCAGCTGCTGCAGCCATTTGTGTCAGGCTGAGGCGTAACTGCAGTGAGCTGCTCGGGTCTTTGAGGAGCATATAAACCTCATTGTCAATGCTTTGTCTGTATGCAGCGCCTGACACCTCGGTTCACTGCTTCTTGTTAAACACAGCAGCCGCCCTGGGCAGCATGTGTTAATAGACACTTAACAGACACCTGTACTTGGGTCAGACAAGCAGACACCAGAGAGAACTGCTATGGCTGAACGTATGAGGGTGTTTATTATTCCTCCAAACACTCCCAGCGCCCATAAACCTCAGGCTGTGTGACGTCACACAAGGAGGAACTGAACAAGGTTGCTGAGCTTGCAACAGTAAGCAACAAAAGAAAACAAGTGAACATGAATACACAGGCTCGCATTTTGTCTCATTATATTCACAAACTTTAATGTCAAAGAGTCTGAAAAACAAAACATTGTTGAAATGAAAGGAATACAATACATGGCTTCCAAATTTGAGAAGCTTGACATGCCTTTGCATTCAGCCCACATTTTACTTTATGGGCGATGTGTAAAACATTATCTGTTGTGGCAAACAAACCCTGCAAATGTCCCTGAACACACCACTGCAATGGTGAAACACAGTGGTGGCTGTAACATGCTGGGAGCAGGTTAGAGCTAAAGGGGAGACAAAATGAGTTAAATCCAGGACACTCCTAAGAGAATTGAGGCAGGGATGGAGTTTCACCCATTGATCAAAGTCCAAACTTAAATCCATCTGAGAAGTTGTGGTAAAAGCTGAGAATTGTTGTGTACAGACATTCTTTATCAAATCTGACTGAGCCTTTGCCTTTTTGCAGAGATGAGTTGGAAAAAGTTGAGTTTTGAGATGTGTTGATACTCTAGAACAAAATGTGACTTTACAAAGTATTGGGGGTTAGTGCAAAAGGACACCAAGCTAATTTAACTATCTTCATGTGACAAAATATGAAAAAGTATAAGTTATTTTGGAAGGCACTGCATTTTGACATCATATTTCATCTGAAATTGCTGCAACATTTTTGGAAGATAGCAAAGAAACTTACACATTTAGATCTCCAAAGTTGTGACCGATTCTCTTGCAAATGTCTTTTCTCCCATGATGCCTTTGCACTCTTGCGTTATAGCCCGCTGACCTCTGACCCCCTATTGTGAGGTTCCTTTTCAGTTCTTGTTTCCAAAGCAACCAGCTCAGAGGCAATGATGTCAACATGTCTGGATGTGTTTATAAAGCATTCCGCTTCATTGTCGCTCTTCTTGTCAGGTTATTGTGTCTCAGCTGGGTATGTCGCTTTTCATTAGGTCAGCATCATTAGAGGCCAAAGTCTCACCGTTTCAACACCAGAAATACTTCCGGATCCTTCTTTTTGTTTTGAAAAGTAAATTAGAGGCTCATTCTTTCTGGCAAACTCACTGGATACAAACATTTTGGCAACATGACAGCCGATTAGGCTTTTATAATATAAACTTGTGCCTGAAGTCATTG